AAAATGTAATAAACACATTGATTATACTCTTGCCAGGACTAGTAAAATGTTGCACTTTAGCCGGAGGAATTTTAAAAATACATCATGTAGCGTAAAACAGACGTTATATATATATATATATATATATATATATATATATATATATATATATATATTATTTTTTTTTATCATGTCGATTCTAGAAGATGCGTGTGCCATCTGAGACCTGCCGCAGAGTTAGTTAGTACAGAAGTTAGAGGTTTCAAAATCAGGCATTAAGGTTTGTGACAGGAGATTACAGCCCAGACACGCGTTGTACAGAAATGAAAAATAGATTAGATCGGGCCAGTTTTAAACATCAGAGAAGGTGTTTCAGGTTGGATTGACGCAGTTTATTATGGACGGACAGGTATTGAACGAAGTTTATATATATTGGAGTCGTATCATGTATCCGCAAGATTGGATTACTCGAGAAGAGTGGCAGAGTTTCATTGTCAAACTGACAGTTTTTCTTCATAATTGTTGTGTTCAAAGTATTAGGGAGTAGAATAAACTACCAGAAGAGCTAATCTCGGTTTCTGATGACGTTGTTTTTGATAATATAATAGAGAGTTGTATTGAAGTATAGAAATGTATTCTTTATATTTTTGTGTGTTTCCATGAATTTTGAAAATGTTCATCATGTATACACAATCTTTGTACGCTCTTGTATAATGCGTAACGTTGTATTGAAGTACAGCAATATATTATTTATTGTTTTTGTGTGTGTGTGTCTGCATGAATTTTGAATATAATCTTTATGTGTTGTGGGAATCAAAAGGCGGGAGGATTACGCACCTTTCACATCCGGAGATCGGTCCGGTGTTCAAAGGGAAAATCCGATGCCCGACCCACCGCGCGGCCGACGGCTACCAGCGAGGGCGGTCGCCGCGCCGGGTTCGGCCCAACGCCATGCCAACAACGATGATCCCGGTATCCAACAGCGTTTATTGAGTACCAGTGGGTCCCCAACAAGACACTGCGGTCAAGCGAGCCGCGGACACAGTGTGCCCGCAGCGGCCGCCGACCTGAGAGCCAAAGGGGTAATTGCGAGCGGAGTCATCGCCGGTCGGGCGAGCTCACGCCGCTACCCGTCGTCGCAGGAAGTTCGGGGCCAGGGCTCTCAGCAGACGGACGTCCACACGTTGTGGGGACGCCGACTGTCAGAGCCCGGGGAGTCGCTAGCGTGGAGTCATCGCCGGTCGGACGAGCTCGCGCCGCGACTCGACCCGTTGCCGGGAGTCCAATCCAGGACTCCTCGACCACACGGCCGTCCACTCGGAGGGCAGGCCCCACTCTCTCCTCGCGCGATGTCGCTGTTCCCCCGAAATCGGGGAGACGCGCGGAGGAGTGCGAGAGAGTAAGCCAGCATGGTGGCGTAGTCTCTCCGACACGATACGGAGCGACCGGGCTCGAAGTCAGACGGCTTCGGCCGGAACGGCCTCGGCTTACGCCTTCTCGGGGGAGGGAAACCAGTGGCTTCCACAGTGTACACAATCCATGTACCCCCTCTATAATGCCTAACGGCGGAACTGGTATTTGTAAAAATAAATGAAACAAGTTATGAGAGAAAATTTTTTTTTTAATATTAGCAACGTCGTTTATATATGTATATAAATTAAATAAAAGATGACATAACATCACACCTTCCGGTAGTTAAGCTCTCATGGCTAGAACAAAGGAACTGTGTCCATTTATTACGACAGATTGTTGGATCAATACGGTCGAACGCCTTCGAAAGGTCGATGAGGACGCCCATTACATACCTTTTATTTTATCTTCAAGCAACTTAAAAATTATTTCCTTATGCTCAAAGATGACCTTCACAATAATGAGGCAAAGAGAGAGGCCAGGAAGTGTTGGAAAATCCGCGGTGCACACACATGTTCAAAACCTGCGAACCAACAACAATACATGTCAACAAAGCACCCCCAAAAACCTTATCATCCTAAAATGCTATGTGCTCTGGGAGACAGAGCGTATGGATACACTTTCATTTTAGAAATTGCAGACCATGTTGTGGAAAACTCAAGCTCTACCACAATAAAAATTGAGAAAATAAAACACTCATGTTTCGAGACGCACTCCGAAACAGGGCAATACGCCAGTTACTCACTCCCGTCTATACTCTGCGCAATGTTATATACACAAATCAAGCAATGAAGTTAGGATGCGTACAATATTTTTCTTCACAGGTACGTGGTCAATGCCGACAACAGGCTGTCACATAAAACAAAACAAGAATATTCTTTATAAAAGATGATGGAAGCATCAGTAAAAGCTAAAGGCTGGTTCACACCTTTGCGTCGGTTGCGTCCCAGCAACCAAAACGACACCAACGACAAGGACACTGGGACAACTCTTACTCGTGATTGCTTCACACAAAATTAAGTCTGCATTGCTTGTACCGTTGCGTACGCCGAACGGTTGTTTCGGTTACTGTGAGGTTGTTGTCGTGCTGCAATCAACGCAACTGCATGAACCAGGCATGACAGCTGATGCTGGAAGACACTTGCTTCATCCGTCCGTGTCTGGCCATTCATTCTCCATCTGCTGTGTCCCAGGACAAAAAGAAAAAAAATGCATTGAGTGTTGGGAACAACAATTGATCTGTCTGCCTTTGAGACGTGGCGGCATATTGGTTAGCTCAGATACGATGTTCAATTAATTACACAGGCGTATTTAGTGCATTACATGTGCTGATTTTACTACTCTGTTTGGGGCCTCATCGTTTGCACGATTTCATGTGTCATGATTTCTCAAGTTCTCAGTGACGCAGTGCGTGCTATTCGTGAGCCTGGATTCCTCATACGGCAAAATGGAGCTTAAGCAGCGCGTTATTTTGACGAAATTTATCCTTGCTGCTCGATAAATACATACCGGACAAGATTTCAGAATAATAGTGGTGGTCGACTTCTTGAGAAACTGAGGCATCATCAGGCACCCACTGCATGAAACAGTGTTCCAAGCGACTGTGTTTTCATCCGTAGATATGTATAATAAATTATTTCAAGGGGAATGACCCCTTAATACTAATGTCCAGAGCTATTTGCAGACTTCTTTTATATGAGTTTAGGAGGATTAGGTGCATCCTAAACTTTAGATACTTCCAAACAAAATCAGAATGCCAATGGAGAAAAAAGAAAAGTGAAAAGCGACGCTAAAATTGGTTAATGTGGAAAACAGATCACAGTGTTGTTTTATGGTTAATATTTTAGTGTGAATCAACCTGGTATCAGTAGAGTTTCAGACACCCGATTTTAACCTTTTTTTTTTCTTTACAAAACATATTTTTAAACACAGATTGTGCTGGGATTGACAGCGATAGCTGGTGCGTTGTAGAAAGGCACTCTCGAGCGTGAAAGTCGGAGTCGCGCGTCCTTTGTAGCTCTCGTGCCGTTGCGGACCTTTGCCCCGTTCAGCGCGGCGCGCCTGCCATGCAGTGGCGTACCAACTTGCTTTTGAGTGGGGAGGCAAACTTGACCCCCCCCCTCCCCCCCCCCCAGGGTTGAAGGGCGGTGACCTTGGTATACCTTGGGCGCCGCCGGCCAGTGTTTGCCCTGCCCAGCGGCGGCCATTTCAGGGGGGGGGGGGGGCAAAACACATGCCTTGCCCCCCCCCCCCCCCCCCCCCACTCTGAGAGCTGGGGGGGCAAGCGCCCCCCCAGCCCCCCCGGTTGGTACACCCATGCTGTCATGCCTGCTCCTCGGACGCAGTTCGACGCTTGCGTGGTTTGGCCATGCGTGTTAGGAAGTGAGCGAGGGACGCCCGTGACCGCGGCTGCGCTTGAAGTAGCGAAAGTAGGTGGGCGAGCTGTTCTGTAGAGGCGCGGAGAGCACGCCGGAATGGAACCTGGGTGGCGGCAGTCGGGAGGCGAGGGAGCGTGTCGACACAGCGCGACCACGGGGGTACTTCGCAACGGTTGCTGTGCTGAGGGGTTGAGGGGCATTCTGTTCTTACAAGGGAGATCGTCGCCGGAGGGCACGTGAACGCAGCAAAAACGATGGGCAGGCGGAGAGTGCTCTCCTTCGTGATCACGTGGGTTTTTCGGAACAGCGGTGGCCTACAGGAGGGAGGGAGGGGTGAGCGAGAGAGCCTTGCCGCAGTTGGAACGACGGGAAGCGGGAGAGTAGTATACCTCTGTTGTAGAGTGGTGTTTTGCTTTCGCACATGGACAATTTTTACCGGGAAGGGGCACCAACATCTACCGCTGTAAAATCGGCTGCCTCTGGCATTTCCCAGAAGTATTTTAAATGTTTAGCATTTAGAGCTCCTTAGCTGACGTCCGCCTGATATCATAACCCATTACACACCGCACCGATGTTCCCGGCGCTCTCGTTTTGCAACCGCGTTCCTTGATCCTCTCCAATGCCCTGCTGCGCTGCCGTCATCGCTTCTGCGCTACTTCGTTAATACACGAAGCCTGTAAGCAACAGGGTTAGGTTTAGCGGTAGATCAGCGCCTATTGCCTGTCAGTCTGTTTGACTCTGTCCGTGTCGTGTCGCTGTTTGTACTTTTCAGATCCTTCATAGTGCGTTTAGTACGCTTTGTTACCACTGAGCGTGCGCTGCAGAACCCAGGGATCTTGGGTTAAATCCTCACCCTCTGCCCGTTTCGATCTGGATGAGCATCGTACCGGCGGCGGTCGTGTATCACTACTGCGAGGTGCACGTTAAAGACGCCAAGCTAGCGGTTGTACTGCACTGGATAAATTTCTCATCTACAGCTGGGAGACCCCAATTACCACTGAGCGTACACTGGTGAGCACCCGCTCTGGTTCTATCCGATAAGAGCAGTCGACGCGTGCAAGCGGCGTCTGCACGCTTCACGGTGCACGCTCTTCTACTACATCCCAGACCCGGACATGAACGCGCCTGAGCTGGCCCTGTAAATGCAATGCATTTAAAACATATCTCAAATATCTCAAATCCCTTTTGCGGAATTATACACACGTTTTCACTCTCGTTGTTTGTTCCTTGCAGAGCCCTGGTGGCGGCCATCCGCGCCAACTCGTCGTTGCCCGAATGGAGCGACATCCATGAACCGGGCGTCTTGTACCGGTGTCCGCTGCTGCAGGAAGGAAGGCCCTGCAAGCAGGTCGTCGTCGAGGCCTCGGGTGAGGAGCGCACGTGAGACCCCCGACGTGGGCTTTGAACGGATGCGTTGCATATGGAGCTTGGCATTAACGTCTATTTAGATACAAAATAAAATACCGCAAAAAAGAGACAAAAAGGACAGGCGTCTGTTTCGTCTACTTTTTTTTTTTTTGCGTCTCTTTTCCGTTATTTTTTGTACTTAATTATGCACCAACTAGCCCAGCAACGTACTTTGACTAATATCACGTGGCGTGCGTGCATGCACTGTGTGGTAAACGCGGACAGACCTGAGGTGCACAGGCGCCGTTGCAATTTTTGCAACTGATCAGTTAAAAAGTCTAGAACTTAAAAAGTCTAGAACAACTGGTGGAAATTTACCGTGATGATAAATAGCCCGAGACTGGGATGGAGCAACCGAAAAATTGCAAAAGGAGAAAGGTAAAAGAAGATAGACAGGAAACGACTCGTAAGACAACGTCTTGCGTTTTCTTTCTTTTGCCTGTCCTTCCATTTTTGAATGTTTCTGTTTTCCTGTAAGCCCCTAAGAAATTTAGCAATTTAACAAAACAACGATCTAACAGAAACACTTCATTGTCTCTGATTGCTCGTAACAGCGACATCTGCTTTTGTATGTCCTCCTTATTTTCTGTGCTTGTTCTGTACTTCATTCACGTAATATGTTCGTGCTGTTCAAAACAAAATTAATAGCGTAATCCTAAACGATGCCCAACGCAGGCAACGAGGACCACCCGAATAACGTCGAGTATTTGCGATACTACGACCTCAAGGACAACATGACCCTGGGCATGAGCATGGACGTCTCATCCAAAGGAGACATCCTGGTAAGTCTACACGTCCACACGCTTCTTTCCTTTTACTGTCCCTTCCCTTCACAGCCGCAAAAAGTTGGCGTTAATTTCAATTTACTATCCATGCCTTCCGTTAAGTTGAAGACAAAAAAATATTATTAATAAATTTTAAACCGGCGGTTTTCGTGTCTTAGGGGCTAAAATAGCCGATCCATATCGATACTTTATTTCGTGGCCAAACTGATCGCGGAATGAAGTCAAGCTACAACCTCTACTACGTTTCAGTAGACGTTTGACCTCATCTTGCGAAAAAATTTACTGGTGCTTGTTCACGATCCAAAAAGGAGGACGTACGTCATCTTGAACTACGCGCGCGCGGAATGATCTGTTTGAATTAAAACTAGGTCACTATACTCTGAAACGTTTTTTGTTTTGTTTTTTTGTTTTTGTTTTTTATCGTGTCAGAAAAAAAAAATATTGTTCAAAACTTAACCCGAAGGGTAGCCGAAGCTGGCATAGGAAGACCTTGAAAAGCGGTGTCCTTCAAGCTCCAGTGTGACTGACACACGGTGTTTTTCTAAAACCATGGTCTCGCTGCTAATACATCATACAAAAAAAAAAAAAACAACAACAAGGAACGGTCTGCTGACAGAGTCATAGGTGTGTTTCTTCCTTGTATGGCGGTCGTGTCACAATGGCCATATATACTGTCAACAGAGGTGTTCGAAGCATTTGTATATACATATGAATCAGACATACTTCGAGGATGCTTGACGCTCGTCCTCCGAGATAACTCTGTGAGCGTGTATGTAGCGACTCTCGTTTGCCAGGGCGGTTGTAGCTTCACAATAGTTTTCTCGCACATTCGATCTTGCTTTTTTTTTTATGGCGTAGAAAAAATAAGAAAAAAAATCCACGCACCGTGGTTTTATGATTGAGAGACATTTTAAAATATGTTAAAGCGCATTAAAAAAAAAAATATATATATATATATACATATATACAAATCAGTTTCGCTGCATATAGTGAGGTTTATTTCTTTATTTATTTATTGAAAATACCCCCAGGGCCCGAAGGCATTACAGAGGGGAAGAGCACATACACGAAACAAAGATAGTAAAATAGTCACGAGTCAACAATATTAAATATACAACAAATAAAGAAGAAAAAAAAACAGGTCTTGGGTCACTGCTAAAATAGTTAGTGATGGAATTTCTAAACAGGTTAGTATCAGTTAGAGTAGCAATCAACCTTGGGAGGTGGTTCCATTCCTCGGCTGTGCGGGGTAAAAAAGAAGATTGAAATGTTGTGGTAAACGAACTTGGAACTCCAACCTTGTGCTGATGGTCAAGACGGGATGAAATGTAAAAGGGAGGAGTAATCATCTGACTGCGTAGGAGAGGATTATGAAAATACATTTTATGAAATAGACATAGGCGGGAAATTACGTTGCGTCGAGAGAAGGGGTAAACATAAACTATTTTTCATCGATGTGAAACTAGCAGTACGGTGGTAGTTGGAAAGAATGAAACGGGCTGACCTATTCTGGAAGGATTTCAATGCAGTGATCAGAGTATCGTGACCGGGATCCCAGATGGAGGCTGCATACTCTAATTTAGGCCTGATTAACATTTTGTAGAGGATCAATTTTAGTGAAAGAGGTGCAAATGAAAAGTTGCGTTTTGAGTATCCCCACATGCAGTTAGCACGGGTAGTAACATACTGAATGTGGGGTTTTCATGAAAGGTTATTTGTTAAGTGAACACCAAAGTACTTGTACGTTGCCACTTGCTCCAAAAGGTTGCCATCTAGGTGGTTAGAGGGACTGTTGTTAGGTTTACGGGACACTCTCGTGTGTTTGCATTTACTAGTGATTAGTTTCATTTGCCATAATTCACACCAACGAGAGACAGAGTTAATATCAGACTAAAGTGCAGACAGGTCAGAATCATGACAGATTTCACGGTGAATTACACAGTCATCGACTAAGAGACAAACGGATGAAGACACATTAATGGGAAGATCGTTAATATAACTTAAAAATAGTAGTGGGTCTAAAACAGACCCTTAAAGAAGCACTGACACCCCAAAAGTAGTATTTTTTTTATTGTCTAAAACGATACAAGTTGCAGTCTTAGAAACGCAAAAGAATCGCATCGCGAAAAAAAATTTTCCCGCGCGCGCGCGCGCCTTTTTATTTTTGTCGTTTGATTTTCCCGCCTCTCGCCTCCTCGCTTCTTTTGATTCGTGACGTCAAGAATCATGGAATTTAGAAGCTTTGTAGGCAACATCTCTATAACGTTTAATAACGGCGATCCTAAAACATGTTTTTTAACGCAATTGCGAACGCACTACGGCCCTTCTTTTTGAAATACCAAAAATTGGGAGTTCGTTGTGGTGCCGTCTCCTGGATTTGTATCCCCCCACGGAAAACAGGCGACACCGCTCAAAACCGGTCCGCCGCAACGCCGGCGCTCGCTCCTTTCCTCCTAGCTTTGGGTCGCCGTGGCAACAGCAGGGAGTCGTGAAAGGAAGCGGACTCTCAGGAGTCCGCAATATTTGACGTCAACGCACCGGCGCGGATCGCGCGGGAGCTTCGAATTCGGCATTTAGAAATTGTTTTTTTTTTTTACTTCACAAATACTGAATTCCCAAATTTCAGATTTTGAGGGTAATGTCCCGGCATCGTTCTCAATCGTTTCGGATAATAAAAAAAATATGATTTTGATGTGTCATTTATGTGTCACACAGGTGAAGAGTTTTCGTTGTTACAAATTGCGAACGGTTTTTCACAAAATACCGAATTCATGAGAGAACGTTAGGGTCAATGTTAATTTTTGCAAGTTTTAGCAGTAATAGCTCGTGACACACCTTATCGAATGCCTTGGCGAAGTCTAAGAAAATACAGTCCACCCGGGGGCCTCGGTCAAGAATAGAATGAATGTCATGAGTGAAGGATAGGAATTGGGTTTCACAAGATGATTTACGAAATCCGTGCTATGCTTCAGTGAAAAAATTATTCGACTCTAGGAAATGTACGAGTTGGGAAAAGATAACATGTTCCAGAAGATTACATGGGATGCTTGTTAATGAAATGGGACGATAATTGTTAGGGGAATGTTTATCGCTACCTTTCGGAATTGGAACCACCTTCCCCACTCGCCAATCACAAGGTAAAATACCATCTTGCAGCGACTGTTCAGACAATTTGGAAAGGATAAGAGATGAGTATAATTTAGTGTTTTTCAAAAACTTGGAATTAATACCGTCCACTCCCGGATGATAACCTCAGTTTATTTAAAATTTTTGCAATACCAGCGGGATAACCAAAGATAGCATCCATTGACAGATAACAGGCGCAGTTTATCGAAGGGTAACTTATATTGCTAATGTTAGAAACATATTCAACAAATTTACTATTTAAGACATTAGCACATTCGTCACTGGGCACGTAATCACCACTTGGAGTTTTATGAGAAATTGAAAAACGGTCCTTTTTGTTAACAGTATTCCAAAATTTAACGGGGTTATTTACCAACATGTCCGGAAGACTACGTGTAAAAAAGTGAGATTTAGCGTCTTCAATCTTTTGTAGACTTCTACAGAACCGTGATACGCGGCCCAGCGACGTTCACACAAGGAAAACTAGGCCGCACGGTACAAGCGCTTTTTTTTTTATTTGACAGTCTCTTCAGGGCTTTCGTGAACCAAGGTGACTGTTTATTTTCAAGAATAGTTCACAGCGGTACGTATTTGTCGATAAGGGAGATTACCTTATCTTATAAATTTAGTCAGTTATTCCTGCTTAAACTTTCAATCCACATTTTTAATGAGTTCAATCGTGACCAGTCCACTTTTTTTGACGCATTCCTTCCTAGAAATATACAATACAATCTTCGGTATGACTCTTATAGAATACCTTGGTCAAGGACGAATTACGGACATACTCAATTAGCGTACTTAATTCCTGATTTCTTAAATAAACATCCGGCCGTAAGAGAAATGATTCATGAGTGCGGCTCAAAGCATACCTTTAAAAGAAATATAAAACGGTACCTTCTATCATGTCCCATTGAATGAATGTTTTTAAAAAGTGTTTGTATCCAATGGTTGAGCTTCATTTATTCTAGTGCATCATATATGTCCCCGAAAATTGTTATGACATGACTACTGTATAAGTTATGTTGTTTTGATCTTTATTTGTGGGCCGTTCTGTTTCCCCGTGGTTTCTGTGTTTATATTACAACGTGTCGTACTATAGGCTGAGCAATGTAAACTGGTGATAGGGCCAAGTCAGGCAGAACCCATCTGCCTTTTGCCTTGTCATCCGAGACCTTGTGTCTAAATAAACCAATTTAATTTATACGGGTCCATATCACATGAGCAAATGACATTTTAGCGAACGGCGACATTTGAGCGAATGGACGTTTTAGCGAATAACGGGGGCGCGCGTTAACCCATCCGTCGCGCTGCGCTTTACGCCGCTTCGCGGCGACAGTCTGCGGCAGCTCATTACAAAAATATGAGCCCACTTGGCCCACCCGAAAACGCCGCTTCGCGGCGTCCGACTATTCGCTAAAGTGTCGTTCGATGAAACGTGGGCGTTCGCTAAAACGTCATTCGATCAAGTGAGTGCCTCCCCAATTTATACAAGGTCCAGTTTTCATTAACAGAGCGCCCCGAAAAGCCTGTCGAATACTGGTCAAAGAAAACTGCAAGATCATTGTTGATCTGATCAAAATTCGCTCTACTGTAATTGCGTATTTGCTTTCGTTGGACAGTGCCGACGTTTTGAAAAAAAAGTAGCATAGAGTGATCATTGATCCCTGGAAGATAAGCTATGGCACTTGCATGCTCAGGGTGAGTAGTCAATTTGAGATCTAAAACACTTCCTGTTGTCAGAGACACTCTGGTGGGATGAAGAACTAATTGCGAAAAGTTAAGACCCAGACATCAGTTAATGAACGAATTACACTCTGTAAAATGTACATTCATACAATTAACATCATATGACCATGGTATAGTGGGAAAATCAAAGTCACCAAGATGGGTGCGCTGGGATACCGCATCACTATGCAGTTAATGGCGTTATGCAAAGTCTCAACAAATGATGACGAAGATGAGGGTAACCGATAGCTAGGGCTCCGTGTTTTCAGATAAATCCGAAAAACTCCGAAAAACACCCGCCGGTAAAATTTTGGTCAATTCGGATTTATCCGATAAACTCCGAATATTTATGTGTCGGTGTTTTTCTTTTTTGATCAGCACAGAGTCAATGGTCCTGGGAAAATTCCACCATAATTATCTTTCAAATCTTGGACCGTTGTCAACAGGGGTCTTGCCGCTTGTCTCTTCAAGGTTGATTCAGGGCAACAGGTCGTTCGTTGTACATTCGGGTCACAACAAAAGCCACTCTTTTAGTTTCCAGGTTTGGGCCACGCGATTTGTGATTTAGAGAAAGGAAAGGGTATGTGTTGGTAACAGTGAAAGCTATGGGCCATAGTTGTATAAAATTGGGAAGAGGGGCAGTTCAAGCTCTCTATTACCTCCTTAACCACTCCACCTCACGTGGCCGCGGGTTAGATTGATGAAATAGGATGGGATGACTACGAGCTTCTTAGCGACTACCTCCGGGAGTTTATTGATTTTAAGGTATCGGCGTTTATCGAAGTGCCACTTGATTGTGACTTTTGTCGTGGATAAGCAGCGCTACGTCCGTGCCACTTCTTTGTCTGGTCCTCGTCTTTTCGCGCTGTTTTTAAATCCGATGGATAAATTAGTATTGCCAATGGCAATGGCACCAACGCCAAATTCAAGTGAAAATATTTCAATTGATAGAAGTGCGTCTTCTTTTTTTATCTGGCATACGTTTACATTCGGTTATTATTTATTTATTTTAAATAGAAAACACAGCGAAATTAAACTCCGAATTTCGAAGAATCGAGAATAAAAAAAATCCGATAAACTCCGAATCTTCGGCAAAAAATAAACTCCGAAAAACACCCTCCGAATTTGACGAAAAATAAACTCCGAAAACACGGAGCCCTACCGATAGCCTACTCCCATGATCCACTTCTTATGGTTCAAAACAAGGCCGACACAGGTTAGTTCTATATCGCATGCCATGTTTAATCAAAAATATTTAATATGGTCTGCATTTGCAATCAGGACGCCACCTGTCCTGTCTATCGTTTCGATACTCATTAAACGTTTTTGAACCATCAAACAGTTCACTGTTCAGGACCTTCCCAGAAAGCCATGTTTCGGTTAGAACAACTACATCAGCATCGGTAGGCCGAGCATTGGCCGTCGCGAGGGCGCGATCGAGTCGCGCAGCGCGTATTCACCTTTTGCGCGTTTCTCGGGGCAGGTCTGCGCACCGCTCTGGAAGAACCAGAAGTGGCCCGGCGTGTACCTGCCCAACGGTGCCTGCTACGTGCTCGACAAGAACTTCAGGAGACTCCGGAAACTTGTGCCGCTCATCAAGAGATGTGAGAGGACACCGTGCGCGGCGCTATGAAACTCGACCGTGACTTTCGTGCAATTTTGTCGTGAGCACTGTTAGTGTATTTACTCGAGTAATAGAGGCACTCTTTAGGAGCAAAGCGTACGGGTTCACTTACGCGCGGAGAGCCTTGCACCGCGACCGACAGAAAGATGCCAGCCATTTACTGGGCAAGGTATGACGTCTTCGCGCTAAAATGCTGTCTGCTCAAGATGGCCTTTTTACGAAGAATTGCCTTCTCGACCTCGTTATTCGCAACGTTTCTTACGCAAAACGCGATAATTGACCGTGTGTTCAACGAGAAAGTCGGCACAAGGGCTTCGTTCATTAGTAGTGCTTCTATTACTCGAGTAGTGGTACTCACTCACAGCCTAAAAAATACAAAGTGTTGCTAAAAAAAATCTTGCTTTGTGCTTTGTTTTTTGGTGTTCGTAATATATGCCATAATCGCACTAGTTGCGGAGCAATAATAAGATGCTCGAAACGCATCAGGCCTTCCGTTTCTTAAATTGTCAGCGACTATACTAACTAAAAAATAAAGACGTAGAGAGGGTGTTCCAAAGGCTTACACCCAGCTACACCCTTTCAGCATTCTCATTTCGACTAATACAACCTTTATAATTGTAAAGTGCGGTGCTATCTCCCGGAGCACCCTCAATTTATTGAAGGGTGTAAAAAAGGTGTATAAATGGGTACAAAGGGAAGGGACGACATACCCGCTTTAAAGAGCTAGCGACCACGTCGAAATATTACTGTCTGTAGTAGTGCTGTTTACGAGAGTGTCCAATCCTTGAACCTCGAGAATTTACACTTTACGTGAGATATGGATGAGAAAAATGCGGCATATGTACAACCTAATTAATAGGTGAGGCAATCACAGGCGTAACAAGTGCCTTTATTTGTCGAGTATAGCAGTCACAAGGTTTGTGATTCCGGTCACGTTGCGCACATATTTATCGTTTCTGAGCAAGTGACAACTGTGTGTGGTGCGTGTTCCTTGTACACCTGTCACCCGTTAAAAATATAACTGGATTGCAAGCACCCTAGTTGTAAAGTGTTCACGGGAAGTCTGAAGTCGGTGCCTTTGCAGCCTTAGGGTGTTAGCCCTGAGACAAGCTTATTCACACCCTTAGGGGTCTCAATGTTTTTTTAGTATGGGCATCGTTCCCTGAATTTACACCCCTCTGTTGCTGAGTTGTCCGCATTCTGAGTAATATGTGTCATGTGAAAGGTAATGTTGACTATGATGATCACTGTCTTGAGCAGGAAAAGCTAAATTGGATTTGCACACTTGGAGAGACACGAGTACGAAAGCTCTAACAAAACCTTAGTAAAGCCCACCGGCCTTTTTTTTTATATCATTATTATAGCGCTGTGCCGCTCTCCGGGGTTAATATGCAATTTGATACCTGCTCGACTGGATCCTTGCATCGACTCCTCTGTCCTTGATCTTTATGTATAAAATCGACTTTTTTGTACGTGTTTTTGCAGTGCAGCAGGCAGTGAACATGGACTATTACTACTATGCTGCTGAGATGGGCTTCTCAGCGGCCTTCACGAAAGTAAGCGCGTTTTGATTATTAATTCTTCAAAGATTCGTGCGCTTCGCATGTTCTCCCCTCTTACTTTTACAGCAATTTCTATGAGCTTAGTCACCCAATCTCTCTGCTCGAGTCATTCTGCTTCGGAGTTCACGCACACAGCTGTTTTTGGTGATACTCGCGTCTGACAACAACTGCGTCCTTTTCAAAAACAATAACTTAGAACGCAATATGAAAACATCAATCAAAATGGCCGAATGATATTCCGTGATTCCAATCTCATCTGTTGTCGTCATTGTCAAAAAAGATGATCGTTTAACTATTGTTCTGTGGACTGATACTCTGTCGCGAACGAGCAACAAGACACAGGGGTTAGTTGTCTGTTGCCTCTAAATAGTCTCAAACATTTGCCGATTGTTGCTTTTACTATAGGTTTACGCGTGCAATTCATAGTTTTTGGAGCAGATTCATTTGAATTCGGCTAATGTTCCAACGATTAGCTTTTGTAGTAATCGATTAATTACCTCAAACACTATCATGTACTGTATGTCGTGACCATTGTAGAAAGCGTAAAAACACAGGATATATATTTTTTCTCTTCGTGTGAGGTAATTATGGTAATGCATGGTACTGATCGTTCCATTACAAATCGGGCACCTGCACCAACGCTGAGTTTCCTTTCTGTCTCTTTCTTTCTGTATTAGAAAGACCAGGTGGTGTTGGGTACCCCTGGTTTCTCCAACTGGGAAGGTACGTAAACGCTGCCTTGCCATGGTATCCACCTTTCCAATGAATGCTCCACAATATCTCGTGCCTAACGCGAAAGTTCCGTGTTTCTTTCAGGCTCGGTTGTCCGTTATGGAGCAGACATTTCGGATGAGAGCTTGCGGCCCCCGGTTCCGCTCGCACGAAAGGCGAAAGACACATACAAAGGTATGCACACCCTCCCTATATATTCTCCGACGATTGAAAACGCTGTCCGCTAACATCCGGCTGGATCTTCTTCAGTGAGGCTAAAAATTATTGCAACTTCATTCTTGCGTTCTTTCCGGGAACTAGACTAGTGTACGAAGTACAGCAAATTCGCTAAGGGCACAAGAGCGACGTTCGGACGCGGGGTCGGATTAAGGTACGTGATAAGGGGGCTGCGGCCCCGGCCCCCGCGGGCTCTCGGGGAGGCCCGTGCTGGCCCTTAGAAATTAGAAGAAAAAAAGTAATTGTGTTTAATTGACTATACAGCTCAAACAAAGAGCAGAAGTAACACTCAAAAGTGCCTCTGGCGTTTCGGCCTTCTCGTTCCTTTTTTTTTTTTTTTTTCAGCGGGGAGATGGGGATACGATAAAGTTCCCGTCTTTAGAAAAGCTGGCGTTTATGAGCTCGTTGTGCAAGAAGAGACTGTCAGAGTAACAAAACATAAAGTGGCCTTGCATGCCCCTTGTCAGAGGGCGCAAAGCTGTCGACGCTGGCGGTCACGTTTTTTCTAACTGAAACTCGACAAAAGGACGGCACTGAAGTTCCCTCTTTTTATTTTTTTTTTTTACTGGGGTTCTTTTGAAGTGTTTTACGGTCAATTTACGGTAGGAAGCTAAGCAAGTGTTTTCATGCGTATTGCTACTCTAGCAATACGGATGGTACACACATTTCTTTTTTGCAACCTTTTAGCGAAGTTACATGTGGATTCAGAACGACAAGTTTAAAGCAAGCAAAAATATGCTGGTAGGCCAGGAGCCGGTCCTTGAGACGCCCTTGAACAGATTTTGTAGGCACTGACTGCAAGACAACTGCTCTTGAGTCAGTGTCCGGTCAGTGATCTGACAGGGCAAGTGAGCAGTCCTCCGTCCACCGACGAACTCTAGTACTGCAATGATTTCACCAACCTCTTAGATATGGCCTCTTTTTTTTAAACTGTTTTGCGTACGTTCAAATAACCGCCGTCTGAACTTTTGCATTTACAAGGAGCAAGGTTATCGCTAAAACTGATTGAAACATTTTCTCCCTTCAAAAAGACAGCGTGTAGGTACAAGAATTCAAAAATATCTCCTCGATTTTCATGAGAAATTATTTAAATGAGTGCTAGTGGCTTGATCCAACCCCCCCCCCCCTAAAAAAAAAAAAAAAAGTGTTGTTTTAGCTACTGAAATATTTTTCTCTCCTGTGTTGCTTCCTTTACTGTTCACGTCAATAATTGATTGACAAAGGGCTAGTCAGACAACCTTCAAGCATCTGGAACAATTATAAGAATTGGTGCTCTAGATTTTCACGGCAGTCGTCGAAGTGCGATGGCATATGCCATTTAGACGAAGCGAAATTTTGTTTCCTTAACTTATAATGGGCATTTCGAAGATCTCCTTTCGGTTGCTGCCTAATTCAGTCCATATCCGAGTAATCGTGACACTCTACATTCTGTCAAGAAGGTCACATGTACTAGAAGTCGAAATTTTGATATATTTCTGCGGCACCCTATAAATCGAGTTGAAGATCTAGTCAAACAAGTTCAGGAACGGCGTCATCATCTTCAACGGAAGTTTTTTAGAGTCTTTATGAAGGTGCTGAATGTGATCGACACATCTAAATATTTTCCTCGATATTTCACTGATTTGAGTTTTGCACCTCAAAGTGCTAGATCGGTTGATATTTTGCGAAGCAGTTTCTAATAAAAAAAACCGCGTCCGTTTCATTGCCGGATTAATAATCTATGAAATCTATTCAATCTACAAATCTAGAAAAGGCTCGACAAAACGCATACGATGAAAAAATACCTAGATTTCACAAGGTGTTAAAATATACATCTGGCCGCCACCATGTCTCTGCTCGTGCGAGCAAGTGCATGTAACTACAAGCTTGCCATAGCTACGTTCACGCGCATGCTGCACATGGTTTCACGCATGAGGCACTAATGAGGTGCCATGCCCGAAGACAAACTTCTATGGCAATGCAGTTTACTGAAAGAGGGCGAGAGAGAAAAGGGGAAAGGGCTACCGGCGCTTTCCCTCTTTCTGATTGTGTAGAAAGAGTGAAACTCCCGGATCAGAGGCTTCGCCGGTGTTGGGTGTCTGCTGTGCCCCAACTTCGTTCGCGCTTTCTTTCCTGTTTTAAACTCGCAAACTTAATTAGGACCAGAGGCTTCGATGGCAACAGTCGCCCGGTCATCGGGACACCATTGCTGGGTCATAGGGTGCAGGAATAAAAACAGAAAGCATAGAATACTGTCCGAGGCCATATGTAGCTTGCAAGGAACCCGGCAAGGCGAGAGCGGCTGCAATGTCTTTGAGCTCCATCGCTTTCCAGATGACCCCTGTCTCCGGCGGCAGTGGATTGCGTCCGTAAACCCAAAAGGCGTTTCCTCAACGCCATCCTCTCGACTCCGCTCGGAACATTTCGTGAATGGAGCGCGCTCCGAACGCTGTACCGCCGATGAACATGGGGTACGCTCGCAATGTGCGTGCGAGTTTTCTCATAATAACTGCTGTTTCAGCTTGTAAAATTTCGCAACTGAATTTATCTTAATAGTGATAATTTGCAGTGCTGACTGACTCGGTTTTATCATCTACAACACTTAGTTGAAGGCTCATTTCCGCCGTCGGGTGAGGCTGGAAATTGTTGAAAACGTAGTTCTATTGTTTGTTTGTTTTTTAATCGCGATCTCCTGCGCGATACCAGAGAGCCGGCAAAAGCGCTCCTTGAAGTGCCGCTGGTGTGTTGTTTCCTTTGACTAAGGCGCTTTGAGGCGCTTGGTAGTCGCTGCAGGAACGTCTCGTGTGTTGCGATGTGCGTTTTCGAGCCCAATGTGCACGTTTCTTTGTTTGAGTCATGGCATCCGCCAGCGTGGCGACGGGGGGAACAGCGGCAGCGAACGTGCCAGCGATAGAAATTGGAGGTGAGTACTCAAAATATTGCATCAAATAGTAAAATAATTCGTGGCTGCTTCGAGGCTTTCTGCGGTTCGATAAAAGTACATGTAGAGCGTCTTCGTCGTTCATTCACAAGGAGATATAAGAACAGGGACACGAAGATAAATACAGCACAGCAAGACGATATGTAGCAGCTCCGGGCGTTTACAAAGTTAATTGAGGTTCCCGTTTCGTGTATCGCTTGTTGATTACAACTAAAAGCGGCTACGTTGAAATAGGCCCATTGCAAGCAAAAATGTATAAATGGTTCACCATTTACAGTTATACGGAAAGCAATGGAGCTTAAAAACATTCCAGCCGTACTTGCCTTGCCGGATTCCATGCAAGCTACAAAGGTTCTCGGACAGTATTCGACGCTTTCTGTCGTTATTCGTGCACCCTATCACCCAGCAATGGTAACCCGATGACCGGGGGACTGTCGCCATCGAAGACCATGGCTCTAATTAAGTTTGGGAGTTTGAAATGTAGAAGAAAGCGCGAACGAAGTTGGGGCACTGCAGACGCCCAACACCGGCCAAGCCCTCTCATCCGGGACTTTCACTCTTTCTACACAATCAGAAAGGGGGAAAGCGCCGGTAGCCCTTTCCCCTTTTCTCTCTCGCACTCAAGATGGCGCTACCCACGATAAAACGGTCTATAGGCGCACGTGCGAGCGCCTATCAGAGCGGCGATTCACTGATGTCTTCTATTGGCGGCGAGATGTTTTGGTGGCGCCCTTTTAGGGTTTTCTTTCGTGACGTCATTACTTTGCGAACAACAAGTTCGATGGTGTTTCTAATGAGCACGGTGGAAGCTTGAAATCATTGCGCTCTGAAACTGACAATGCCAACACCGTCGAAATTGAAGTTCTTCCATAACTCTTATTTTCGTCTATGAGAACTTCTTTGCTCACGTCATAGTCTGCATTCGGCCAATCGTGAAAGGCCGATCACAGCGACGCTTTCGATCACTCACGTCGCCAATAGGGGGCTGGATGGCGCTTAGCCTCGCTCCGAGTCGGGCGCGAGCGAAGCCACCGGAAGTTCGATGCTTGTCCCGGAAGTCGAGTGTTTGCTGGGTTTTATAGTGCATTTAGTTAATGTTTTGGTTCACGCTCTCTTGCATTTTTACGTGGGTTTTAATAATCGCTTTTAATAATCAATCTTGAGAATTAGGCATTTAAACTTGGGGCATGTACACTTAATCAACTAGAATTTCGAAATTCCCACACATCAACTGGCTTCCAAGAAGACTTCTCGAGCCTGCATGAACTGTTATTGAACAACAAGGAGGTTCTATTGATATAACAATAGCAAATCAAGTGCCTTGGACACTGTTTGGACTACCGCTCGTAAGAGTGGGAAAGCCTGTCTAGCGCTCACTTCCGGGACAAGCCGCTTACTTCCGGTGGCCTTATACCTGTTTGCTCAATGCGTCATCCAGCCCTCTAGTGGAGATCAGTGCTGCAAATGTGCACTCCTCACGTCTTCTGAAATGGCACAGAAAGTTGTCCGTTAGTATAGTCCCCCCAATGCAGCGATTGGACACGAGCCACTATCCGAATGCTCGTCGAGCCATTAATTATCACGAGCCAAAATTGAGTGCCCACGCCATTATCGTGACCAAACTATGAGCAGCATTCAAATATCATCACACGAGGGTCAGCGCCATGAACATTATTAACACTGCGACACCTGTGCCTCGTCATAAAATTTTGTAAATAAGAGACTGAAAAAAAAACAAAAAAACTTTGCTCTTGAGTCTTAACGTGATAGCTCGTGTCGCAGAAAAACCGGTCTCGGTGGCGTGGCAGAAAAGTGGGCGTCGGAGGCGGGATGCGAAAATTCTGATTGGTCGATAGCGTCATGACATTACAGCCACATGACCTTGAATTTCAAACAACCCACAACGCTCACGTGAAACGTAACGTTACGCATGGAATGAAAGAGATTGAAACATGGCATGTAAAGCGAATTAGAGGTCGCCGCTGTTATGTTGCTAGTTAAGCTCAGGAGGATGGTTTAAGAAAACTGTTTAATATGTAACACACGGGATCATGGCAGCAGCTATGGCGATTGCTCGTCAGTTCCAAACGCAACAGCGCGTGCCACCTCCTGCGAGCGTGCTCACTGGATGTCCTCTTCTTCTAAGATCAGAAAGCCTCATGACATCATAACATGCCCCCCTTCTTCTTTTTTCTTTTTTTTAAATAACGCAATGCGATTGCGGCACTTGTCAGTCTCTGTATCGTAGCGGCTTCACCACGACGCGTCGACTTCTTGTTTTTTGGTTATCCTGTTGACCTTGTAGACGTGGAAATGTGTTCAAGTGATTCGTCATTTCAAGCTGTATGGACATAGTCTTCAGCAGCTTCGTTTGAGACTGTAGGGAAATAGTTTTCAGCCGCTGTATTCGTTTCTGCTGTTCCATGTGCTTTGGTGTGGTACCGTTTGCGCCTGTAAGTCCTCGATGTGTTTCTGCTGCTGCTTGTCCTGGTTCCACTTGTTCTCCTCGGCACGAGACTGCTCCAAAAGGGACTCATACCGCCGGGAGAGTTCCTCTATCTGGACTCGGCTTGCTGGTGCCTCCAAAGTTCTCGCTGTACCCCCAGTGCCCTCGGTGACATGTTCCATCGAGGCTTGCACTTTTTGGTTTGGCGCCTGTAACAACCGTTCTTCAGCCTTGAGATGCTTGTCCTTGAAGAGGCGAAAGCGCTTTTGCAGCTGCTGGTTTGCTTGCCAGAGCTCTTGCAGCTCCTGCATGGTCTTTTGTCTCACTGCGCCCTGCTGCTCCTCGAAGACTGCGAGAGCTCGTCTGGCTGTTGCCCACTCTTCTGTGAGCTGAGCGCACCTGCCCTCCAAACTGCGTTTCTCTTGGGCTGCCGCGTGAAACTCTTCCTGCAGGTTCCTGTGTCTGTATACAATGTGGTTATACTTGTCCAACAGCTGGGAGTGGTCTGTCTTCAGCGCTGATAGTGCTGCCTCACACTTGGCCGCTTCGTCCAGCGCAGTACAGTGATCGTTCTCCATCTCCTTGGTGACCTTGACGTGCTGCTCGCGCTGAGTCTTCAACTCCTCCTCGAGGCAATGTCGTGCCTGTTTGAAGTTCTCAGCTAGCTGTTGAAACTGTTTGTTGTCGCTGACGAGCATCTCAGCTTGCTCCTCCAGGCAGGAAAGTTCTGACAACAAAACGTCGGCTTCGCTTTCTAGCTTTCCGTTGCGTTTTAGGAGGCTGCTGACTTTCTCGTCTAACCTCTCGCACTCAGTTTCTGCCTTCTCGGTAAAGGAGCTTCCGTCTGCTTCCGTTTGCGACGAATTGTTACACCTAACAGCATTCTCTCTCTCTCGCAAAGTCTCCGCCACCTTTTCGTGTCTCTGCTGCCAGAGGCGACTTTCATTTGACACGCATCTAATTTTTTCACTCGCATCTTCACAAGATGATTTCCACTGCTGACTTTCTTGAGCGAGGAGCTCGTTCCTAACTGTCAAGGATGTGACCCGTTCCTGAAGCACTGCCAGCATACGGTTCAAGTCTTCCAGCTGACTTGCTTCAAGAGACACTGCAGCTTCTGACGACTGGGTGGTGTGCTCGAAGATGCTCCGGACAAATGCTTCGATGATGCTCCGGATAAATGCCCCGAGATCTTGTAACGGCCACTGGTACCGGTCCTTTAAGTACTGATAGTTTTGCTGAAGTAGATTGAACTGCTCCTATTTCTTAGCAAGCTGGTTTTCCAGGGCCTCTCTTTTGCGTTTTGCGGTGTCCAGCAGCTTCTTGAGGTACTGAAAGGCACTGAACTCTCTTTGTTCGGAATCATTCTGAACTAGCGGCAAGTCCTCGCCACAGTCTTGAAGGAGGACATCTTGCAAGATGCAGTACTCGGCAGAAAACCTTTCGAGCTCAAGCTGGGATGCTTCAAACTTCTCCTTCAGGGTGTTCGCTTCCTCCACCTTGGCATTTACAAGCTCCAGCTGCTTTGACAAATCCCCACTTAGAGAAACTAACTGGACTTTCAATGCTTCAGACTCCTGATACTTGGCACGAGAAAATTCTGCTTGCTGCGCTTGCATCTTCCCCAGGAGAGCCGAAGCTGCCTTGCACTCGCGTTGAAGGGCCTGCTCACGGCCAAAGCTCGCTTCGATATTTCTCTCGTGCTCCAAAGACATTCGCTGCATTTCTGCCTTTGCCAACACCAACTCTGAAATCATGCCTTGTCCCTCTTCTGAGCGAGATGCCAGCATGCCCTTTTTTTTCTTTGACCGCCTCTCCAGCTCTGTCCCAGTTTGCGCAAACTTGGTTGCTTTGGTTGATGGAAGAGGCCCGATTGCTATGCCTCCCAAATGGATCGTTTCATTGCGGTCATTGTTCATGGATGAGTTGGAAGTTTCTTCTACTGCAGAGACACGTCGATATCCGTAGGTTTTCTGCTGTGTCTGGTTGCACATTCGGGAAAAATGTCCAAACTTTCCACAGGAAAGGCAGTGCTTTCCGTAAGCTGGGCAGTTTCGGGGTTGATGGGAAGTACCACATCTCGAACATGAACTTTGCTGTCGGTTGCTGGATTGGTCTTTTTGTGGTTCGGATGGTTGATACCTTCGTTGCGCTGCTCTGAAGCTAGATGGCTGACGATAAAGTCCATCAACTCTAACTTCGTCTTCAGTTTTCTGAATATCATTCACGTGTTTCTTTGAGATTTCAGCTGCTTTACAGGTTGAAATGATTTTGTCTAGGGTTAGACTCGGTTCACGAAATAATCGTTCGCGCAAAGCCACATCTCGTATCCCAATGATGATACGATCACCAATGAGCCTGTTTTCTTGAGCTCTGTAGTCGCATTTCTGAGCCTGCAGTCTTAGCTCAGCTACAAATTCGTCAATGGTTTGCTCTGGCTTTTGGCTCATTGTGTTAAAAATGGCTGTCGCTTGTGTGACGCTTTTGTAAGGTGCATACCGTTTATCAAATTCGAGCAGTATCTGATCTACTGCATTCTCTCTTTGCCCGCTTTGACCATCTCCCGTTGGCTGCAGAGGAAAGGTTTGCGTAATTCGTCTTGCCTGAGGTTCAAGGCAGTGGAGCAGAAAAGCTTTCCGAGTTGCGATAGGCTTGGATGCATATTCACAGGCTGCCTCGAACATAAGGTACGATGATTTCCACTCCTCCCATGCTCTTGCTGGGTCGTCACCAGGCTGGAACGGAGCCGGCGGTTGTAGGAAAGCAGATACCATATTGTTGCTGCTGTTGCTTGTTAAATGAAAAATATGGACGTTGAGCTGCATCCCGCTTCTGGCACCATGTTATTTTGCTAGTTAAGCTCAGGAGGATGGTTTAAGAAAACTGTTTAATATGTAACACACGGGATCATGGCAGCAGCTATGGCGATTGCTCGTCAGTTCCAAACGCAACAGCGCGTGCCACCTCCTGCGAGCGTGCTCACTGGATGTCCTCTTCTTCTAAGATCAGAAAGCCTCATGACATCATAACAGCCGCATGTCTAAAATGATTTCACTTTATAAAGTAATAATGTGCCTTAAAGAAAAATTACAAGAATTTAAGGCGGGATTCAAACCCACGACACCTCGGTTCGGAGCCAGACACTCTGCTGACTAACCCATGTCCGCAGCACTTCCTGCTCAATGGCAGGAAGAACATGAGAAGCGAATGGGAAGGCGATGCGAACGGGGCCCGATAGCAGTATCGCGTTTCACTCTAAAAGGCGAAGCTTAAGCGTCCACTAAGTTTTTATGCTTGAAATTACACCGCGACAAAGTGTCTTGGTCCGTGGCGTTCCGTGCGAGTATACTTGAGTTCCCCTAGTACCAGTGAGCTGGAGTAAAGTGAAAAACATTTCAACTCGGTGTCGTCGAGCTGTCCCTTTAAATCGGTATAGCTTTATGTCGCAGCGCAAGGCTGTCGTTAATTAATGTTGGACCTGGTATGACAATGGCATGATAACGCCTCCTAACCATAATGACCGAGAAAATAAAGCACACCGAAGTTTATAATATTTTAGTTATTGCGGGTCAGATAACATTGTTCTGCTATGCACAGGTTATTCCGTGGCAACAGGAAAAATGTTCAGGGACACTGACGTTACCTTAGCCATGGGAGCACCGAGGAGCAACGACTACAAGGGGGAGGTAAGAATTGACGGTTGTTTCCAGGTTTCGAATAGACCGATCTCACCAGTCAGTTTGGTTACGCCACCGCTGCCGCAATGCATCGAGGGTCTTTTTGCACTTGCCACAATTTTGCTGGAGTTCTGCGCGTGCAGAGCCCGATACAGCACGAGCCGTTTCGGGCACTGCCGCCTGCCTCCTGTGAACTAAAGTTATGGCTGTTTCACGCATGCGCCAAACGCTTAGTGAGATCGGTATATTCTAATCATTTCCATCGTTCGCGGACGTTGTTATTTACTTCTCCAGTCGACCGCCACGTACACTGCACAGTTTAAAGCCGCATTTGAATTTAATTGGGGTGTAAGTTCAATCAAGGATCCAAGGATGTGCCGGTATATTTGGTCCTCGCAAGCGGAGCTGCATTCAATCTTAGAAGTGCTTTGCAGCAAAGTAAACGCTTTAGTTTTCTTAGAAAGCGGGGTTTAAATATGAGTCAGAATCGCTCCGATCTGCTTCGCAGAATAACATTTTAAATTTCGCTCTGATGCTTTGAAGACCAGTCTTTCCGAATGTGGGGTCTGATAAGGCTCGAGAGGCAGCACTGTATTTTGGGGCTCTCACAAAGGCTGACAAGAAAAAGCTGGAGAACTCAAAGCATCGGAGCGTGCATGGATGAAACCAAGAACGAAGGCAAATTACAAAAATTCTGAATTGAAACGGGTGGAGCGAAGAAAGTTCTTGACATCACAGATGGATAGAAAGAAAAGAAAAAGAACAAAATAAAACCCTGAAATCATGCCAAATGAAACTAATTACAATAGAAAGTATAGCTGCACAATCCTGTGTTTTAGTACAGTGAGTGATGGAATTTTGCTGCCAGCGAAAATATCAAATGTGCGTTGGTTGGGAATACAAGATGAAAAATCTATGTTTCAATACTGCTAATACTGCGTTTCACTTCGATACGTCCAGGTGTTCCTGTTTGACTTTGACGCTCCCTGGGGAGGGAGGGCCACTCCTATCAAAGCCCGGTTGTACGGAGGTCAGGTAAGAAAGCGAACGGTCGATATCTCCTTTCACGACAGTATACAAACGTCGTCATACAGTCCTGTTCCTTTTTGTTACTCAGAGCTTCAAGTTATACTATATTTCGACCATAGGTCGTAACTATACTCGTATACCCTGACCCGGAAAGTCCCCCAGGAAAACGCACGCGAAACGTTTCAACCGATTATTTAAGGAAACCATAAATAATTAGCGTAAACGTTTTTCGAATTACGCACAAAAATCAAAACTACTCAAAAGAAAAAATAAACGGTTATATTACTGGGTCCTTCAGACAATAGCGCGCCCTATTCTTGAAGACCGGTGGTTTCGCTGCGTTTCCGTAGGAGTTAAGCCTTATTTTTTTTTTTTTTTACTTTCTCCTCGGGTAGGTTTGCTCTTCGCAAATTTTATAGAAAAAATGCACCACCTGTGGGTGACGCTGCACAAAATCGTAGCGCGATAGGTTAAGAAACCGATTCTTGCGGTCGATTTAAAGAGCCTGGCCGCTATTGGAAACACCCTGTAGTCAACGACAGGTAAAGAAACACGGCTTAGTGGCGAGTCTCCCAAGCATCGTGTTACCTTGCTCCGCAGCCAAGGAGATTGCAGCATCGACGATAAGAATGTGAAAGAACCAACCACGAAGTAAGAAGTGTAATTAGAATGGGTCACATGCCGCGTGGAATTCCTCCAAGCGGTCAGTGGCGGCAATAGCCGTTTCGCTTCTGCGCAGATGTGCGAGTATTTCGGAGCGTCCCTGCTCGCGGTAGACTTGGACAAAGACGGCGACGGCGGAATGGACGATCTGCTCGTGGGCGCGCCCATGTACACACACCCGGACGGCATGGACGAAGGCCGAGTCTACGTTTATCGGAGCAGCGGTTCTGTAAGTAAAACTATATTCGGTTGAACTAAAACTTTTATACATCGCACAAATGTTAACGTTGTTTAAGGGGTATACTTAATACGATCCGTTTCGTTTTCGGTCTGACCGTAGTATTATATATCGCTGAGATCATATGGATCGAGCCATTCAAACATGGCCAAAAAGTGCTTAGTGGGGGGAAGACGAGCGCCGTAACTAAGCACTTTTTTCCCTCTAAAAAACGTTTGTGCGTCTACTTTCACGCATAGCACTCGGACACCCAATCACCGCAACTTACGGATGCAGCTCAGTGAATGACACTGCCGAAACATATGTTTAGACCAAAAAATGCAGTCTGAGTTGTGACATTAAGCAATGCAAAACGTCACGCTTGCATTGCTTAATGTCACAACTCAGACTGCGTTTTTTTGGTCTGAGCATATGTTTCGGCATCGTCATTCGCTGAGCTGCCTCCGTAAGTTGCGGTCATTGGCTGTCCGAGTGCTGTGCGTCAAGTAGACGCACAAACTTTTTTTAAAGTTTGCTATCAGCGACTAGACCAATCAAGGACCAAAAAAAAAAAAGCGCTAGATCGCAGCGCGTTTACCCTGCGTGATTGCTTTTATCGGACTCCGGCCGGACTTGAAACGAAACGGAGTAGAGCTATGCGATGATTACATGAGCGAAGCGTCTTTGTCAGATGTACTCACTTCTCTCCATCAAGGCCATGATTGAACTGCTTGTCCTCGGATAGCTAGCTGTACGACATATTTGCGTCACGTCAGTAGCATCTATTGAACAAAAGCGTCTGCTAGAAAAAGCTACGAGCTCACTTTTTGTGCCTATGGCTGGCTGTTGACTGCTTGGCATAGTGTTATACCGAGCGCTATTCAGTTGCAAAAAATGATTATATAGACGAGCCAACGAATCGAGTGCAATAAAACTTCACGATTGGGATTTTTTTATGTGGTGCCTTTATTTATTGCGCTCAAATTTCATCAGTGTCAATTTGGTGGAGGCTATTCGCCATATCGAATGACGCAACCTGGGTGTGTGCACGACGTAAGCGAGGTAATGTAGTGTCGGCCTCACATTAAATCTTCCAAACCATGGATGATATAATCAGTCACTGCATACCTTGTGAATCTTTTGCTAGGTTTTGACGCGGAAATCCTGGCATTCGGACGAGATTAGCCCAGAAATGCGTCGGTGTTCATGACGCGATGTTTGCGCACCGACTGACGACGGAATATCAACGAATCTTCAGCATGGGCGCTTGAAGCGAATGTCTGCAATGGTTGGATCACCATTCATTGAGATATATATAGACCAACTTTCTACGTTGCGAAGTTCTCTCGATCATTCCCGAACTACTTTGGTTGTCTGCAGAGTGCAACATTTTCAACTAAGGCTGATGAAAAACCCTCGCGGCACGTGTGGCAGTTGGAAGTTATTCCGAGGCGATAAACGTTATTGTTGTAATCGTCTGATTTTTCCTGCTTTAGGGCCTGTACGCCAGAGGTGCGCTAGAAGGATCACGTGCCAAGGGAGCAAGGTTCGGGACAAGCATCGCTGGCGTCGGTGATCTCAACTTGGATGGCTATCAGGGTTAGTGACTACAGCTGCTCTTTTCCCGTGACAGAGCCGACATGGTGGCAAAAGGCCCTTTTCAAAAGCGCGCGCCCTCGAGCAGCTGCCCCGAGGCCGCCATAATTTGGGAACGCGCTTTGCGCATGCATTGGATTGGACGCGAGCGCTGTGCCAGCGTTTGGCGCGTACTCGGGTGCAAATCTACAGGGTGTCACAAATGAAAATTTACACGGTCTTTTTTACCGCAAAAATAAACTAGGCATCGCCGAACGCTCATTCTCCGCCCAAAGGTAGAGCTATGAGGTCACAATTAGATGCCAAAGTTTCAGCCCGATCCGATAACTCAATCAAAAGATATAAGTTATTTTCTGAAAATTTCAATGGGAAAATGGAGCCCAATTTTGCCCGTTTTCGGTTTCTGGTGCCATAGAGCCCCATGTGTTTGAAAACTCCGTCGGCCGCCATTTTCCCATTGAAATTTTCAGAAAATCACTTATAACGTTTGATTAAGTTATCGGATCGGGCTGAAACTTTGGCATCTGGTTGTGACCTCTAGCTTTACCTTTGGGCAGAGAATGAGCGTTCGGCGATGCTTAGTTTATTTTTGCGGTAAAAAATACCGTGTAAATTTTCTTTTGTGACACCCTGTATTTGACACGAGTGCTGCGCCATCACTCGGCGTGAGCTCGGATGCAGTAACATGCTTCGCGCAGAAATATCGATGTCCGATATGGCGACCGCCAGTGTTGCTTGATGGACATTTGAGCATGAAAGAAAAGGATTACCAATACCAAACGATTTTTTTACTACTTCTGCACACCTAGGCATCTAAAAAAACATGCAAACTGCCGCGAAGACTCTCGTTTGAAAGTTACAGTTTCAGTTAGGATCGTGCTCAAAATGCAGGTGAGTGAATAGATAGTATTTTAATCCTCTGGAAGCCTCAAGACCTGTTTGCGGGTCGTCTGCAAATTTTTTTATTATTTTTTATACATAAATTTAACTGCCATGTTCTGGAAATTCCTCGTTAGAACCACCGTCATATCTGAAAAGAACTCTGATAAATTCCGTGAATGGCGTAAGACAGATCAGGAAACGGTTTATGATACTGTTCATGAATATATAAGCCGCTCACTCTGCATGTTAACTTTCTGTAGGTTATTTCTTATTCCTGCTTTTGTATAATATATTTCACTGAAGTCCTGTGAGGTACAGCAAACTGAGCTGAAAGACTGTGTAAGCAAAACGAAGAGCTCTGCTAAATATTTTTTAATCAAAAGTGTTTGTATCGCTGCAAGTATAGATAACTTTATAATATTTCGTACTCAAGTGTTGCATAATCGCATATTAGAAACTTAGTCCGATGTTAAAATTTACGTATTCGCTTCCACATTTTCTATGTCACAAAATCCAAACAAGTTTTTCTCCCGATAACCTCCATAGCTCTGACGCAAAAACAGTCAGGGCTCTGGTGCGCGCAGTCTGCATTTAAGCCAAACAATGCGTTTATAGCCAGTATGCAGGTAACTCCGTGCGAACTTCAACAATTCAGTCTTAGCTCCTGGGCACCTGAGCACACCTGTATGCTTATCCTTGTATTTTATCCATCTCTGCTTGCCTCTCGTTTGTTTCATCGTGAGAGACTCCTGCTCGAACCACGTACAGGCTTCCAGAGTGCAAGCTTTAAAAGAAACTGCGTCATCCGGTTTCTTTAGGTTGAGATGGAGGAGGGTCGAATAAGAGTGGCGTCAAGTGAGAATTATACTGCGTGGGTGCTCGTCTGCTCCTTGCACGCCTGGCGCGTTTGTTTACCCTCCAAATGCGCCCACCTGGTTTTGCCCCCCCCCCCCCCCCCCCCCGCCGCCCCCGACCTCAACCAATAACGGTGTGCGCTCGGCTGCCTCGCCATTGTGTGTTTCCTGCGTTTTCTCTATGCTCCCCTTTATTGGCGCGCACCTCCTTGCGTTACAATGCACTAAAGACGCACATTGGAAGGCTAACTTGCTCGCCATATAGCACACTAAAGGAACTAAGTTAGATTTCACGCCCCGCGGGTACCGGCAATTGATGTGACCACCGTCTCTTGCAGACGTCGCTGTGGGTGCCCCGTACGAGAATGACGTTGGCGCCGTGTACATATATCACGGCAACGTGATCCTGGATGGGAAATCGGAGTACGCCCAGGTACGATCGCTCGAGGGTTATTTCCGATGAACATTTCTAACCCAAAAACGCTCTCTTGTCGCGTTCGCAGCGAATCGCAGCCAGTTCCGTCTCCTCGCGGATCGGGGTCCCGCTGAAGGGCTTCGGCATCAGCATTTCCAAGGGCTTTGATGTGGACTCGAATCGCTACCAAGGTACAGTTAGCCAACCCAAGTTTTTTTCTTCTTTTTGTTTTAGTAGATTGGCACGGGAGTTTGATCTTGGAAATAACATTATCTATTGAAACCAAATACATGAGTCTCAACAAAAGGTTTGTCAGTCCGAATGCACGACCAGAGCAGTGCTCATATCCGCTGTCAAATTCCATGCTCATCCACGCTCACTTCCGTTTAAACCGTCTCAGTTACGTTTTCGCTCATATTGTTTCGTTCATGCCAGCCTTCACTAACATAAACGAAACAGTTATTGAAATATCGTTTAAATGCAAGCTGTTAATCACGCTCCTCAACTGATGAAAATGTAACTATAGATATGTTTCTACGGTGTTTCTGCCGCCTCGTTGTGTGATATATACATCTGTTTCCTTCGGTTGCAGACGTCCTGGTGGGTGCATATGCTTCAGACAGCGCCGTTCTTTTCCGGTTAGTACTTTTATTCTATCAGTACGACGGACTTTCAGTTTCGCGGCTCATTGGGAAAGCACGCCTGACTGAATTGCGACGAAAGCTGTTGGTCATGTTTCATAAAAACAAATAAATTGAAAAACAAGCCCAACTTGCCTAAAACCAGTACAATAACTATTTTACGAGGGATGGTTGAAAACAATTAGACTGATCTTTTATTCAATATCTGATAATTACAGGTTTTAAAAGGCTTTTTCTTCCAAAGTTTAGCCTCTTTTATGATCAATACATTTTTTAGAATATACAAAAAAGGATCAAATTAAATGTCAAATACTGTTTTATGACATATCGTTTAAAGTTGCAGACGCGACTCTTTAACGTCCCAAGGCAATTTTCTGGAAATAATTTCTTTCTGTGCGATGTTTGTTTTCTCAGTGATGGAAATGCCCAAACGTCACAAGGCGATATATCCGGGTTATATGAAAAAAAAAAAAAGTTATAGTGCAGTTACTTCTCTTCAAAAGCTTAACGCAAAATTCAAGCTCACCCTCGGCCGCATTCCCACAGGCGAGTATTCTTCCTCCCTTATGGCGACACGTAAAGGGTACCTCACTCGCTGTGACAGAACGCTGAAGTCTACGGTGGTTCAACTGCCGATGTAAACATTGCCCGTCTACCTCTATGCAAAAAGAAAGAGAGGCAATCTCACTACTTCTCATTGAGCCTCCGTACTTAAGCGCGAAACACATGTACGACGAAACCGTCCGATCCGACGTGCGGACTGCCGGAATGACCTTGGGGGGAGAGGGTGTTCGTAGCATCGGAGAGCGTTGAACACCCTCGCCTCCGACCGTCGTACTGCGTGGTCGGACGTCGGATCGGACGGTTTCGTCGTACATGTGTTTCGCGCTTTATGCAAACAAATACAGCTGACGAGTGTGACTAGTCTGATTTAGAGACGCTTCTCTTGCATGCCATGGGCCATGGCTTACCGGCTTCAAAATGGCTGTCGTAGAATACATTATTTTTAACTATCTAAGCGCATCGCGGTCAGTGTCTCTGTGTGGGCGTCTCGTGATTTACAAAAGCTTTGAGAAGTGAATCCTTGCACCTTAACACAGTAGGCTTCTGCCCAAGTAATTATGACGCGGCACAGAACCTTGAGATGCTTGATGACAGGCAGCTAGTTCAATAATCCTAACTGGTGGGCGATAAGCGGAAATAGGTGAACAATAGAACCAGAGTGCACCAGTCATTTTTTAATATTGAACAACTTATCGAGAGGCGTTGTCCAGCCTCCAGTCATAACTGGAGCACAACCTTACACAACATTGCTCAATGTCAACCTGAAGTTTTGGGGCATGCCACATGTGATTGGCGAACTATGCCATTACGGCATTATTATAGTGATAGCCATACCAGGTCGGCGTCGATGGGACCGGAAAGTCTTGATTGGTCGATAGGTCACGACGTCAAAGGCACGTGTGGCGTCACGTGTGACGTCACACGTGGCTGTGTCGTCAAGAGCCTATCGACCTGCTAAATTTAGCGGACGATTTTCTCACCATATTTAGCGGGTCGATAGAGTCATGACGTCACAACCACGTGTTACGGCAAGTGTGACGTCACGCGTGTGACGTCACTCCACATGACCTCGACCAGGAATTCCAAACAACCCACAACGCTCACGTGGGACGTCACGTGATACGTGACGCGGCCGACTAGGCCACGCACACACGATTGCACTGCTTGGGAACGAGCGCGGGTTTAGATGGAAAGGCTTTGCGTACGGGGCCCGATAACACAACCGCGTTCTCCGAGTTCGTTTAACCTTCTGTCACATCGCGACGTGCTGTTCCTGCGCAGGTCGCGTCCGATTGCGGAGCTCAGGGGTTCCATCAAAGCGGATGTGTCCATGATCACGGCGGACATCGGGAGCTGCGAGGTTTCGGGCGGAGATACTTTCTCCTGCTTCAAGCTCATCTCTTGCGTCCGCTATTACGGGAAGTTCGTCAGTCCTACCGTGGGTACGTGACGGCTCAAAGTAGTTTGCAGGTGTGTGAGCTCTGATTGGTACAGTCATCACTTACGGTAAAACACACTTATGTGCGCGCTGGTGCGCGTTTAATTTATTTTTTCGTCTCTTGCTTTGCCTGTATATGTACTTATCTAATTACGTTCGTATGGGGTTGTTGTTTTGTTAATGTCTGTTCTTGTTTTACTTGGGCATTTTTTTATTATAAACATCTTCTTGATTGCATTTTTCTCTTGATATGTTCGAGTTTTTGGTTATCCTACTGTCCAACTGGAACTCAATTGTTATGGACCCTCTAATTCAAAGCGCTTTTCGTACATTCCAGAAACATGGACACTTTGGAGTATCCACTTAACTTATCGTGATCTCTCTTTAAAATGTGTAGCACATCTTCATATGTTCTACACTGCGCGACACTGTTAGCACAAACACAACATGAACTTTTTTATTGGATTTTGCAGGGGTGTCGGCGGGCATCTGATTTAATTGCATAGGTTAGTTCACCAAATGAACATTTTCCATCACACTAGTAGTTTTGATTACATCTCTTCAATTCTAAGGAAAAACAGAAAGAAAGAAAAAACAATCACTTGTTCGTGCTAACAGTGTCGCGTAGCGTGCACCTGTGTCTCTTTTGTTTTGTTTTTTGTTTACTCATGCCATTTCTAGCCTTTCTTTTGCGACAGGCTTTGAATTCAGTACGACGCCCGCGCTGTTTATTTGACACAACGCCTTGGATTTTATTTCTCATCTTCAGAAGTGGAAACCGAGTTGAGTATCGACGTGAAGCGCGTGGCAGACAACCGCCCCGTCCGCGGTTTCATGTACAACAACGTGACCCAGGTGAACAAGTACAGCTCGTTGCTCACCGCGAGGGTGAACCACTCCACCTGCGAAACCAGGATGGTTTACCTGCAGGTACGAACGACGTGCCCTTTCATTGGATGCTCATATCACCTTACATCACATCGCCTCACTTGACATCGAATCACATCACCTTACGTTACCTCACATCACCACAGATCCCTCAAACCAACTCACAACACATCAAATCTCATAACCTCACATTACATCATATCGCAGCACCTCACATCACCTTACCTCACATTATATCTCCGTACATCTGCTCACCAACACACCACATCATTTCAGATCACTTCCCATTACATCGCCTTGCTCACATCAGATCACGGCACCTCACATCACCTCACGCCTGCTCACAACACACCTTATAATATTACATCGTCTTGCAACAGATTAGATCACATCGCATCACCTGACATTACATCCGATCACAGCACCCTACAATACCTCACATCACATCACCTGACCTCCCATCACATCACACACCCATCGCCTCACGTCATAACATATCACCTCACAGCACGTCCCTTGCCTTGCCTCGCACGACCTCACATTGCGTCATCTCACATCGCATCACCTCATAAAATCTTCTCATCATGTCACTTCACATAATTCGACGCGTTGTTAAGGCGAAAGCCTTATGTGTCCTATTACGCGAAAAGGCAGCGTCGGCGTTGTGCCCGAAAGATGGCCATAAGTATACGTTACCAAGCACGCGCCGGTCAAGGTCAAAGCGGATGCGCCTCAGAAATAAAACACAAAGCGCAGCAACGCAGATGCTCCGTAACGGAAGCCGTGAAACCGGCGAAGACGCCGCGCCTGCGCAGTAGGGGAGCGTGATGTCACTGCCGGAGCGCCGTGTGCAAAGACGTGGCGCGCTGCTTGTAGAAATGCGCTGGGTGTATAAATGCTTTCACATTCGTACACGTAAGCAGTTTTAAGTGTCTTCGGCGTGTTTTTTTTTTTCGTCATCTCAGAATGCACCGCGCAATGTAATTCGCTCCACCTTTCCCGATGTTTAACTGAAACTATCATCTAAATCGTCTATATATTAAGCTGTCTGCTTCTACGTTGCCTGCGTACATTATTCACTATTTTAAACACCTGTCTGACGATCATCTGGATGTGCGATTAGCAAATCATCGGCCACATATTTAAAATGTTGAACTTTATGTTAAAAACTTTGTTAAAAAAAAAAAAAGAAATTATGTTGCGGAAGAACGCTGCGGCGCAGCGGTACCAAGTGCGTTCTGAGGCCCTTCCCGCACGCTTCTCAATGGGCGGAAGGAGAACAAAAAAAGTTCGAAATAAGGACTTAACGCAGAAGGCTGCATTTCTCCAGCGCCTCATAATTTGACGAGCCTTAAACGTAAAGCATGTTGTTTTGGCCATCCAGCTTCCCGTTTTTTTTTTTTTATCCGTAACATGGGACTAAAGTATCAAACTGCCATCGCCGGCATTTTGCGCGCTGCCACCTTTGTTTACTGGATTGTGGAACGCGTTCTGAGCATGCGCAGTAGCTCTCTTCTGCGGAAAATTAGACCCCTGGCATGTGTACGCACAGTCCAGTGACTCGGCACTCCTTGCCTGGGTGATGAGCGATGGAAAGTTGTATAGTCATTGATGGCTGCAACTCATTATCGCTCAACAGCCAATCAGATAGAGGCATTCGCCAATAGGAACACTGAAGAACGAATCGCGAATAAAGAAACGCGACCATGATCAATCACACCCGACGTTCCTCAAGCTGTCGGCGACTCTACAGGTGTTGCATTGCATACGTCAAAGCTTTTTCATGAATACTGCTGGTATTTCTTCGCAGGCGGTTTTCGCCGATCCTGTGACGCCGTTCGTGACTCGCTTGGAATATCGACTGCGCGAGCCCAGCGAGCAGCGCTGGTGCCCCACGTGCCCCGTTCTAGACAAAGACCTTCCACAGGCAGTCACGCAAACGGTGAGTTTGGAAGATTGATCTCCAAAGACATTTTGGTCAGATGTATACCCTATAGTCGTGAATGAGCGCGTTCGATTTGCAGATTCCGTACCAACATGGCTGCCGATCCGACGACGTCTGCAGGTCCGATCTGAAGCTGAATGTGGAGCTCACCAACTACGAGTAAGCTACTTTGATGATTGGCCCACGCTTTTGCACAGGGGCTTTCGTCCCTATCACATATATATATATATATATATATATATATATATATATATTTTAATTGTGTAGCAGACTAAAAGTAAGTTAATCCCAAAGCCACCGATCGTCGTGTTCTAGGTTAAGTGCACAGCGTGTTTCAGGCATTCATCTAACTTGTGCCAAGACTTCAAGAAAACCTGGAGCATCCTACGCTTGTCGAACCAACGCAGTATTGTTCACATTCCTGTCGGGGAGGCGAATACTTTTTTTTTCCAATGTGCCAAACTGGCCAATTTTTTTTTCTTCTAATGTTGCATTTTTGCAACAGTGTGTCAGGGAGTTATTACCTCGTGAAACCGCATGAGCAGCTTTTTGTACTGTTTTTTGTTTCCTTTTTTGTACAAACCAAGAAGGGAAATAAAGCCTCGTATGTATACTATACAGAGACTTTCCGAGAAAAGATAACCATGTTTTTCGACCCTGGTAAATGAACTATACGTCGCAGGAAGCTGAAACTCTATGAGAATGGGACACTATCGGTCGGGATAGAATGCGAAATATTGATAGCTTGACGTTACCTGGTTCAAAAGGTAACTGAGGGAAAAACTAGATTTCTCAATGAGCCGACGACCACCTAAGCCTAATATCGTCGAAACAAGAAATTACATTGTGGGCGCCTGTAACATCTATTTCAGTGAAACAAACTTGTCAGAAAGAAAGAAAATATTATATTTTTCCTTGCTGACAAGAGTTTTTCACTCATATAAATCTCACAAGCGTCCGCAATGTCAGATCTTGTTTTTACGATATTAGGTGGATGTCGAATCATAGAAAAATGTGGCTTTTCTCAATTATCTTTTGATCCAGGTAACATCGTGTTCTAAAACTGTCACGTTCTATCCCAACCGCTGGTCACAATCTCACAGAGTTTGAGCTTTCTGCGATGCATATAGTTCATTTATTTGGACCAAAAAACACAGTTTTCTATTATTTGAAACTCCCTGTATAATGGCATCGCTGCCGTACTCGTGACTGTGGCCCATGTCGAACGTTGTCACTTCCAGTTCCTCGTCGCCCCTGGTAGTGGGCGAGCGGCGAGACCTGTCCGTGTCCGTGGTCGTGGAGAACAAGCAGTCCCTGGACCCGGCGTACCTGGCCCGCGTCGTCATCACGCTTCCAGCCACCGTGGGCGTCGTGAACAAGGACCGCTGCAGCGTCCAGAGGGACCGGGACGCCATCTTGGAGAAGATCCTCATCGTCTGCGACGCCGGCAACCCGATGCGTCCTGGCCGTCGCGTAGGTCGCTTGTTTCTTCGCGTTCCTTTTTCAGAGATTAAAAGCTAGTTCAAACACTTTGGTTGTAACCGAGTGTGCAAAAACCTTCTTTTAAGCCTCTTGGGACTGCTCATACGACCGGCTGCAAATGCACGCAGCGCAAGTGAACTCGTAAATGGTGTTTAAAACGGATATCAATTAATCCGGTATTAGTTCGTCTCGCTGAAATTGTAATGTCGCGTGCTCTTATTTTTGAGGCTCCTGCCTGTTTCCTGTCTTCTTCCTTGCATTGATGAACGTCCATATGCCGACAGTGAATTATCCGGTTACGGCGTATCTAACGACAATTTCTTGCATCCGAAGGAAACGACCGTTCGAAGGATGCAGAAGAATTGTTGATAAATCAGGCCGGTGGGAGTGTGTGTGTGTCTGGGGGGGGGAGGCAGTATTTGGTGGAACGAGATGGCGAATGCACCACGAATACCCGAAAGAAGCTTGCAGTCGCATGCTATCATGCCGTAAACCTACCAACAGACATGCCTAAAAGTGTTCGGAAGTCGAAAGAAAAAAAAAACACGGTAAAGGAACGCCTCAAAGAACGTATGGACACGTTCTAATTCCCCTACATTTGTGTTATCGGTGTTGAAGGTTATATGCGAATTTGTTTACGGAAATCTCAGGTAGTTTATGACATAATTAACTTCCTTCATCTCGCTTGCGCATGTATATGTACGACGAAACGTTTAAACTACCGATCAATGTTTGGAAACTTTTCTTTGTCTACGGTGCACCCGTTCTGCTCTTCAGTGCAAATCCTGAGTTATCAGAAATCTAAAATCATTGGTTAATTTCTATTATTTTTTCTGCATCGTTATTTTCTTATTTTTATGGTGTTTTTACGATTAAGATTCGTAACCCATTATTTCGTTTCTTTTTTTTTAAATTAAATTGTTTTTTTTTAAATTAATTGAGGAGATCAACAACAATAAGTTTGGCTCTGTCTCCTTTATCACTGGCAGGAAAACTTTATGCTCAAGCTGGATATGAGCCACGTGCAAGAAACCTTTTCGCTCAGCGCCGAGGCGACAACGACCAGCGAAGAGTCAACTCCTAAAGACAACAAGGTTCTGGTTACGCTGCCATTCGTCTACCAGGCTGACATTGCTATGTTAGGGTGGGTGCCTTTTCATTTTACATCCTCCGTCCCCTTCTTAACACACGTGTTTCTATCAAACTTCGTGATTTGTACGACCGGACAAATATGTCACGTTTTGTTCATTTATTATTCATTCCAGGAAAGCCAAGCCAGAAGTTGTAACCTTCAACCCAGAAACAAAGTCGATTCTGATGGAACATGGTTTCGTCGTAAGTTTGCCTATATTTACCTTTTCGAGGGGAGAAGTTACTAACGACGAAACGTATTGCCTTCTTCGCTTTGGTCACTGCCAAAGCAGATGTAATGCGATAGTATCCTTTGCAGCTTTTCAGATGTCTGTCGGTCACGACGCTGTTTTTGTGCAAACTCCTTCTGAACTGAACTAATCAGGTTTTCCGCTAAATGAAGTGGGAAAATTAAATTTGTTCATATGCATACACCAATCCCGGATTTCCTGTTGAGTTTTGGTATCGATCCGCTACTGACGGACGCAGATGCTTTCACAATTTGGTAGTCACATGCCATCTCATTTTAAAAGAGATAACGGAAATATACCACGTTGCTTACTTCATGCAGCTGGTCAAGCAGTACGCCAGCCCGATCCAACAAGTTGAACTCTCCCTGCACGTCCCGTATGTGTTCAGCGAGTCACAACCACCGATAAGCTACGTCAAAATGATAAAGGTGAGACGTGAGCGATACACTGTTTTCGCAACTGTCGCCACAGTGATTTTCTCCTGCTCTTTATGATTTGGCAGGAGATATCATTGCGTTTTAGAATGCAAACGTTCTTAAATCTTGTCTGTGTTCCCCGCGTCTACCAAAAACTGCAGATATATAGCGCAAAATGCATTCATGCCAATTAGTTCAATGAAAGTTGCACCTTTAAAAGTACACTTTTTATTTGCTCGTCGGGGGAGAGATTTAGAGCTTATGTGGAGAGTCGTTTTTAAGCAGATTTAAGTGGTTCTGAAAGTGACCATTTTTTAGCAGTCGCACTTCGTTCGGTAAATTTCCTGATTGGTCCACAACTAAAGTAAAGTATTAGACAGTGAGATGTAACTTTATTAAACATAATTTCGCTGGCCTTCATTTTTTATAGCGTGATCTACACTGGCCGAGGTTGAGCAGTTTCGCGTGGCTCGCATAATGAGCCGTGCTCCGTGCTGCGCATGCGCGAGGAGTGTGACGTCACACGACGCACAGCTAGCGCGCTGGAGCCGCCGCCGCCGCGCGCTCCGCCGCCGCCGCGCTCGCCTCGCCGGTCTGCGTATTCCAGAGGAGTGACGTCATAGCCGCGGCAGACGCACTAGCGCCGCCGCGTGCCCAGCTGTGCGTTTCCGTTGCGCATTAGCCAAGTCTGACGCTGCACCGGAGCCGCTTGATAGCGCCTCTCATTTTGTGCGCATAAGCTCACGCTACGTATATCCTGGCATAGCCGAGCTAAGCCACCGCAATTTTTTTCTCCGACTTAAATCTGATAAAACCGCCCTTCAACTTACATGAAGAAAATGTGGAGTTAGTTGATTTCAACAACACCCAACGCAGTGGGTGGACACTAAAATGGTACATCCCGAAAGTTTTTTTTTTCTTTAATAAATTCTTTAAACAAAATGCGTACATGACAGAGCCACAGTTAAATGCACCTCTTCCAATGTTTCTTGTTCCATTTGTGACCTTTTTATTTAACTACGCTGTGGGAGGTACTATGGATGATTAGCTCCACTATACTTATATCAATCGCACAGAAAAGGCATCCTTGTTCAATGAACTTGCTGACATGTTCATAGCGAACCTGTTGCAAAGAAATTCGTATGGTTCTGAACCGGTGAAGAAAACTGCCAGTAGCTTTCAACCGGATCATTACGAAGCCAACAAAATGAATATATGTATATCCTTTTTAATAATAAAAAAATGCCGACAAAAAGTTTGAGTCCCGCAAACGCTTATGTCAGAAAGCACCGTCAGCGATTTGTAGGTACTGTGCATTCTGATATGAATTTTTACGATTCAACTTTTGTTTAACTATTGGGCGTTAGATACATACAGGGTAATACAGGAAGCCATTGTTTTGGCCAATCGCGAACTTGAACCACAGCGACGCTCTTGGTCGCGCACGTCCGCACGATGATAATGGACCGCGCGTGTTTCGTCTGTTTCCCTTTATCCAGGTCCTCCAGGGCGACCTGTTTGTTCCCGGCACGTGCCGGAGTGTCGAGGGCTACTTCAGCCACAACGACAGCCGGGGGGTCCCCGAAAGCGCAATTCCGACAGAAGCCGTGTCCGGGGCCTCGAAGAATGGCACGGTGGGGGTGTCCGGCCGCGTGCAACGGGCCGCACCCGAGACGGACTTCCGGCCGGAAGGACTCTCCAAGCTCCTCTACAGGAACATACCGCCTTTGGTAGGCATACAGTCGTGTCTCGGTAATTCGCCACTTTCGTGAAAGGGGGCGCACTGGCGCCTATCAAAATGGTTGCCATCTGGATGATGGTCGTAGAACAGCAGTATACGAGGCTGGGTCTCCGACGCCTAAATGATAGATTTGCTATATTATACAGGCAGTATTAGAGCCTTACTTTATTCTTATTTTTTAGAGCGCAGCTCTTAGGTGCCCGTTTCCGGCTTGAGCGGCGTCGGCGTAACCGCGCGGTGCATTATGGGACGCATGACGTCACTGATGACGTCCTCAGTGACGTCATCGGCATTGACATCGTCATCGTCACTGATGATGTCATCAGTGACGTCACTGATGACGGCATCGGCATCGTCACTGATGACGTCATCTGCATCGTTATCGTAACTGATGACATCATCAGTGATGTCACTGATGACGTCATCGGCATTTGCATCGTCATCGTCATCGTCACTGATGACGTTACTGATGACGTTACTAGTGATGATGACATCAACAGTGACGTCACTGGTGATGTCATCGTCACGTGACCTCATAGGGGTCACGTGACCCCCGTGAGGTCACGTGACCCCGGTGACGTCAGATGACCCCCATGAGGTAACGTGACCCTCGTGAGGCGACGGCGACGCTGCTCGGAGGGAGCTGTAGCAGACAGGATGAGGACGTGAGGAGGGAGGAGGGGTATACCTTCCCCTCAGTATCCTTCCGTCCTCCTCCTCAAGAGCTGCGCTCTAATTCGGCGTTACAGGGAGTTGTAAACGGCTTTCATTTTTTTTTTTACACAACAAGAAGGTGTAAGCAAGCACCTTTATTATGAAGCCGATCATCCAGGAGCTATAGGGAGCGCGATTCTCACACCGCGCTATCACCATCGCCCTAGGTTGCGTATACGGACATTGTTAGTATGTATTCCCCGCTATATATCAACGTTTCCAGGTACGAACAGGGCCGATGCATGCATATTTTCTCTCAGTTTCATGTATAATTCACACTATGGACGCTTTCTTGGGGGTGAACGGAGGTGTTCATATTAGCGAGACATCACTGTACACAAACTAGTGCTTCATATACACTGATAGCGCGAGCACGACATCGGCGCTTTAACGCGTTTTACGAGCCTCGCATTGTTACCGCTTTGTTTTGTGCCCCAAACTATGCGGAGCGCAAGTTTGTCTGCTTCTTTTACAGGGGTTGTGGTGACGTCAGAACGCCTAGCCCTGATTGGCTCTGATTGAAGGATAGTGGGTAGACCTCAATGGAAGCTTCCTTGAGGTCTGCCCACTATCCTTCCAAACAAAGCCAATCAGAACTCGGCGTCGCTCTGACGTCATCGCAACCCCTGTAAAAGAAGCAGACGACTTGCTCTCCGAATATTTTTGATGAGAAAATTTCGATAAGAAAAACATGAGAATTCGATGACTGCAAGTTCGTGCTGACGCTGTCGTGCTATGTATAATATACATTGATATTTCATTCAAAGCATTGGAATGGAAATTACAAAGATGGGGCCAGGTAGGGCAGGCTGTTTCCTATATTTGAGGCAGTCTATACATAAAAATTGAACGTACGTAAGATTGCAAAAGTGTGATTAAGTGACACCACGAATTACAGAAAGCTAAAACGATTTGGTGACATCTTCATCCCTCCCCCTCCGGAATGTGGTGATTTAGCGGTAGCGTTACGTACATTTTTCTTCTGTACCTCTTGTATCAAAATGTATTCTTGCGTTGCCAAAAATGATGAGGACAAAGTCAATATAATTCTGAAAATGTTGTGCTCCTTCGCTTCAATGCAGCGGGTTCGCGGGAGTAATGAGCGAACAAATTTATGGCCGACAGGTGTACTTTTTTGTCGGTACAGTCACGCTTGAAATCTGGAGACAAAAGACAAATAATTTATTTTAGACGAAACATATATAGTGTACTTTCTTTCGGAAAAGCGCGTCAAACGTCATCGTGTCCATTTTTAATAATTGCTCCGCAGAACTGCAAGACATCCCTATGCCATGAAATTAGATGCAACCTGGGACCCTTCCTGAACCGCCACAGAATTGCGCAGATCATGCTCTACATCGTCTTCAACATGACAGAGTTCACCAGACAAGCAGTGAGTTCAATAGATAATCAACACTTATACTTAAATTCGCCAAAGGAACTGAGAATGACGCGTGAATTCTAATTCTTATCGTGCTATTTGCAGGGGATCTGGCACGCCTTTAGTGTTGGATCGGAGGGGTCGCTCAAGATCTTGGACAACACCACTTTCATCTCTGGGGCTACCTTCCAAAAGGAGATTAGAGTGAGTGATAGCTGAAAATGAGTCCGATACGAAACCTCTATACTATCTCACCCTTCGTGGTGTAGCTGGGGAGGACATTTTTGCCGGTTAAAACCTTCGAACTGATCGATGGAGTGCACGACACTACACACTCAACGTTTCCCACACTTACTGGTGCATTAAGGGTGTTTTAGAGACTTACGCACTTTCAATACCCTTACTTCGAGTGATACGCACTTTAATACGGTGTTGATGCGTGGAACACCCTTGATTTTGAACGGTGTGAAAAGCATGTAGAAAAAAGTGCTGCTGGGCTACAGTGTGGCGAATCGACATTACACCCGCTTCACCCGCTTCATACAGCTTTAGTGGAGGTTGCTTTTGCGACTACATTGGGCGCGTTCAGTAGCGGCTCCGGGAGTCAAGGAGCCAGCGCTTCTTCCACTAGGCGACGAAAAACTACTTCCGGTGCACGTAACTTTGAGTTTTCGGAGTCAAGCTCCCGTGCACCCGGTCCGGAGACGGTGGACGCAGAGCCGTTTATACTGAGAGAGTCTGGCCTTCTTGAGGATATTTCGAGAGCCTGACAACCACAGCAGCGTAGTCTGACAACCGGAGGATGACCACTTCCGTCCGCCATTTTGCTTGTGGAGCTCTGACTCATAGGGGTTCTATGCGATTTCTCAGGAATAAAGAAGAGAAAGAAGTAACGCCATTTTGTGCTATAGAGCAAGGTATGACGTATTTTGGGATTGCAAACATATATATTCCGGTGCTAAAAAAAGAAAAATGGCGGGAGGAGCAGCGTCGGCTGTAGCTTAGTCATATAAAATGCAATAGTGCTAAGATCGCCAGCACCCTATTTTTAAGACATTCGCCGGCAAGCTAAGGGTGTTACTATAACACTCTTAAGGTATTAGCCGTGGAACAAGCTTAAAGGGTGTAAAACAATTAGCGCGTATACCACCCGGCCATATAGCACTGCCCTCACCTTTGCAGTTGGTTTTGTACACTGCTGAGCCTGCTCGTGCAGGACCTTTATTGTAATAAACTGTAAGTTAGGACAAGTCCTGCGGTAATGCCATCAGTTGATAATAAACGGTCAGAACTGTAAAACATACGAGGTCTCTTAAAAAAGTATCCGACCTTATTTTTTTTTGCTTTTTTTTGCGAACACCTGATGGATATGAAACAAGCAGGCTTGCGCATCAGCCGACCTTGAACCTTTGTGCGCATGCGTGAATTTTTTCCCGCCTGCCGATCGCGTCAATCGCTGGGAAACAGCGTTTGAGTGGGGTAGGGCGTAGTGCTCTCGTCGGTTTTTTTATTGCAAGGAAAATGGCGGAGCGACTGGTGATGCGCTACTGCATCACATTTTGCCAGAAACTGCGCGACAGCCAAGTGGAAACCATTCGGAAAATTCAGACGGCTTTCGGTGACGATGCTATGAGCAGCACACAGATTAAGGAGTGGTACAATCGCTCTAAAGACGGCCGCACATCGGTGGAGAGCGAGCAACGCTCCGGTTGGCCATCAGCATGCCGAAATGACCAGGTCATTGCCGAAGTGAACGCTGTGGTGATGCGGGACCGTCATGTGACTATCCGAGAAAATACAAAAGAGGTGGGCATCAGCACTCTTTCTGCACATTCCATTATGACCAAAGATTTGGCCATGAATAGAGTTGCGGCGAAATTTTTGCCGAAGCTGCTCACGGTGGAGCAAAAGCAACTTCTTGTTGAAGTCTCACAGGACATGCTGGATTCCACAAACAGTGACCCCAACTTCATGAAGACCATAATCACTGGTGACGAGTCTTGGATGTAGGGGTACGACCGGGAAACCAAATCACAGTCGTCGCAGTGGAAGCGTTCTACGTCACCAAGACCAAAGAAGGCCCGCCAAGTGCGCAGCAACGTCAAAGTGATATGCTGACTGCTTTCTTTGACTCCCGCGGTGTGGTACACCACGAGTACGCACCACAGGGTCAAACAATCACCAAAGAGCACTACAGGGATGTCCTCCGTCGCCTACGTGATGCTGTGCGGCGCAAGACACCGGAGTTGTGGTCAACAGAAAATATGCGCATCCATCACGACAATGCTCCAGCACATTCCTCGCACTTGATTCAAACTTTTTTGGCGAAAAACCAGACTCCTGTAGTTCAACAGGCTCCTTACCAGGCACGTAGCCAGGATTTTTTTTTTTTTTTGTGGGGGGGGGGGGGGGGGGGGGGCCGCCGCCCATGACAAAATGCTGTATGAGGGGGAGGGGGGAGAGGAGGTCCCAGCAAAATCGAAGATATAAGGGGGGGGGGGGCAGGCCCCATGGGCCGCCCCCCTGGCTACGTGCCTGCTCCTTACTCTCCTAATATGGCCCCTTGCGACTTCTGGCCGTTTCCCAAAATCAAGAGACCATTGAAAAGAGCGCGATTTCAGACAAAAGAGGACATTATTGCTGCAACGACAGCTGAGCTAAACTCCATTGCGAAAGAGGCCTTCTCGGAATGCTTCCAACAATGGCAGCACCGCTGGGAGAAGTGTGTGGAGTCCCAAGGAGACTAGTTTGAGGGTGATTAGGTTTTCAGGGCTCCAGTTATGCCAGTTGATTTCTTTTCTTGGGCCAAAGGTTGGATACTTTTATAACAGACCTATTATTCAAAAACCGTATCGTACGCTGAGCAGCAAAGGTGAAGTTATCTGCGAATCATTCTACTGAAGAGTGTGGTTCACGTTACATAAACACTTTGTCGCACTGCAGGTGGCTACCGTGCTCCAGAAAGAGGGCCCTCCTCCCGCCAAGAAGGTGGCCGCTTGGATCGTGGCGGTCAGCGCATTCTGTGGCCTCATCCTCTTTTCGCTCATCATCGCGGGGCTCGTTCATGTACGTAGACCAGATCGTTTTTACATTATTCTTAGTGGAATAGCCCGTACGTAGCTGTGCCCTTTTTGTAGAGCTTGTGCTCCTTGGCGAGTTCTGCAATTCCGACAGTGTGAGCATGCTGTGTGTCAAACAACCAAACCAATGAACCAGCCACAGGAAATACGTGTAAAGTGTGCATATCGCCAGAAAAGGGCTGTATACTTAATGCGGTCAGTTGGGCGAGTTGGAACCCGTTAAACAGAGAAGGAAATGACTTTTCTGCAATGATACGCGTATGCAAGTGCGTATGATTGAATCCGCGTGTCTCCCTTGAGCTCACATGTCCTTGTGTGTGTGCCGTTGCTCGACCTGAGTTCGCGTTTTGTTTCTTCTCTTTAGAGCGCAGCTCAGGCGCCCGCTTCCGGCTTGAGCGGCGTCGCAGTCGCCGTTGCCGTCGGCGTCGGCGTAAACGCGCGGTGCATTATGGGACGCGTGGCGTCACTGATGACGTCATTATCATCGTCATCACCACGATGACGTCACTGATGACGTCATTGACATTATCACGTGTGACGTCACCTGATCTCACGTTACCCAGGTGACGTCACGTGACCCCCGTGAGGTCACGTGACTCCGCCAGGGTCACGTGACCTCACGGTTACGCCGCTCGGAGGGAGGAGTAGCAGGCATGACGAGGAAATGAAAAGGAGGGAGGAGGGGTAAACCCTCCCCTCAGTACCCTTCCCTCCTCCTCCTTTTCAAGAGCTGCGCTCTAATTCGGCATTACAGAGAGTTGTAAACGGCTTTCACTTTTTCTTTCCAATACATGCGACTTGTGTGTTACTTTACCTCTACGTGAGGTAAACTAACATGAACGTGAGGGATCGGTCATTCCAATATTTAGAAGTCCTCAGCCCAGCACGCCCATGTTCGTCGCTTCAGAAAGCGAGCAAATCACGCGCCATACGCACGAACACTGAAAATGGAACCGGCCAGGATCCGTTTTTTTGGAAAGGTCTATAGACAATTGCGAGCAAGGCGACTGGCCACCGCCATGTTTCTGCTCGTGTGGGAAAGCCAGTGCAATTGCAAGCTTGCCAAGGCTATGTTCACGCGCACGTTGCATGTGCTTGCACGCATGGGGTACATATGGTGTACCAGTCGGGGCGCCGTGCTTTTAATGCGAAAGCATTAACTGTCCCATAGAGTGGAGCCGGCGTTGTCCGTAACCGCGAAAACGGCAGAGAAATTCCCCGCCGCGGAACGGCTTTTAAAATGGCTGCGACGCGGCTCGCGCGCCGAATAGTTCCAAGGAACGCCCCGCCACAGAGAAGCCCTCTCCTGGCGGTACTCCCGCGCGCCTCCGCAGCAGCGTACACCCGCCGCTCCCCACAGCCCGGCCGGTAATTTTTTTTGTGGCATGTCCGGAGAAGTGAAGATTGCTCGAGCACAGCTGGTGATCGGCGGTCAATGTGCGCGAGCGCACTGGTCCAATAGCTTTGGAGCACGTGGAGCGAAAGCTCGTGCTGCAAAATCCAGGGCCACGTGCCCAGGGCATAGCCTCCTCTATACTGACAAAGCCTAGCAGATCGCCACGAGACGCGGCCGTCGAAAGTGAAAATAAATACTTTACTGGGGGGAATACATTCCACTCCTCTCAAATACAATAGCTTCGGCGCGGACAGGTTTTCTGGGCTTGGCGAGAGCCATCTATCGTCGTGAAGGTCTCGGCTACCGGGCGGTAAATATACTTCGTTTCACCTTATGTGCGAGCGAAGGCAAAGCTGGAAGCGCGAGCACGAAAGCTCCGCGCGTTCAGGCTTTGCTCGAGCGCGCGAGCTGGGCAGAAACGCAAAAAGCGCTGCTCTCGCGCTTTTAGCTTTGCCTTCGCTCGCAGATAAGGTGAACCAAAGTATAGACGCTTTACACACGCGCCAAATTACAGCCGCCATTGCTGACCTTCTCTTGTCTTACCGAGATGTCGAGCAACTGAAACGGTAATTGACGATCCTCTACAAAGGCCGATGCTTTAGAAAAGGACACAGTCGAATCTAATATGGCAATAACCTGTCCTGCTATGGTAATGATGAAGTGAAATAAACGGAATAAGAGGAAACAAAAACTGAAGGTCAGTTATGGCGGCGTCCATGCACAGCTGCTGCAAAGCGTCTATAGCTCAGTGCTGCGCCAAATACTTTGCTGCGCTGTGCCCCCGTAATCTTCCCAAGGGTTGCACGTTGCACGTGCCTCGTGCTTCGACGCACTTCGCGGAGACGACACCGCCGCGGCCGCCGCGAACATCCATGCGGACCTCCACATCGTCAGCGGCGCTGTAGGCGTTCTGTCTGATGCAAATGAGCAGAGTGGAATGTATTCCCCCTAGTAAAGTATTTGGTGAAAAGGTAGAGCGGCAGACAAGAGGAATGTAACGGGCGCCCCGCTGCGGCGAGACGCCGAAACATACTTGTCCCGAGCGATGGAATATCCGCTCGTGCTTCTCGCGTTCCTCGGGCTACCACTTCTTTTCTCGTCGGGTTTGAAAACCACATTTCGGGTCCTCGTCGCTGCAAGAACTGTGCGCTGACTACAGGCTCCCCGACAAACTCTTTGTGCTATACCAGATCCTCGCGCTCCAAATCTGCTACCGGACAGTCTATGGCTTCGTCATCAAACTGCCAGGCTTTGTGAGTATAGAGGAGGCTATGCCCAGGGCCATAGCCTCCTACATACTGACAAAGCCTGGCAGATCGCCACGAGAAGCCGCCGCCGAAATGAAAAAGGTGGAGCGGCAGACAACGGATGAGTAAAGACTCTTGATAAAATTCACGCTTTCAAGTACCACCAACCATTGTTGTAGGAACGCGCAAGACACGTGCCACGAGCGGGTGCTCCGCCGCCAATCGCTTCCAAGAGCCGCTCATTTCAGTGGTGTTCCGCGATTTGCTTTCAAGGGCCGCTCGAGACGGGCCTCGTGCACTGAAGCATTTGACCATACTTGCAAGGCAAACGCAAACACGTTGAGGGGCTTTACGGATGAGAGGATAGCCACGTGAATGGCACCGCGCTGCGGCGAGACGCGGGAACACACATCTCCCGAGCGAACAAGTGTGTTTCGGGTCCTCGCCGCTGCCAAAGCTGTGCGCTGACGTCTAGGTTCCCTGAGAAATGACTCGTTGATGCTCTGTGCTACCACATCCTTGCGCTCCAAATCTGCGACCGGGCACTCTGTGGCTCCATTGTCAAAATGCCAGGCTTTTTGAGTATAGAGGGGATTATGCCAGGGCATAACCCAGAGATCCTGGGTTTAATCCTCATCCCTGACCGTTTTGATCTGGATGAACTTAGCGTACCGGTGTGCGCTCGTGTATCGCCACTGCGTGGTGCACGACTCGAGGCTGCAGGTTACAAGGTCGCCATGTTCTTGCAGACAAAACTTGCGCTGTGTAAGGAACTAACGACTACTTTTTTTTGTCGTGTCCGTGTCTCTTTCCTGTCTTCCTGTATTTTTGTGCGCAACATTAACCATCTCCCGGAGAAAGATGTTCACCGAACATATTAAGAACATTTGTAGCTAGTTATTTAAGTAGGATTTATGGTGAATATTCGAAAACCTCCCTCAGTCTTTAATCAATATAACCCCTGTCAACCGCTCTATTATCCATATAAAGACTAAATATAATGAATTAAGGGAAATCCCCAACGTGAAGAAGACTAGCAAACATTGCAGCAGATTGATATCGTTCAGAGAGTTGTATGGATCAGTCAACGAATATATTTTTGTTTCATGGTGCAATACGCCAAAACAACAGGACAAAAAACGAAGGAAACGCCGCGTCCTGTCTAGTTCTCCCTTCGTTTTTTTGTCCCTGTTGTTTTGGCGTATTACACCATGATGCAAAACCAACTAGCCCAACTAGCCATACTTATATTTTTGTTATTCTACTTTCATGTGCGCGAGTGGGTTAGGTGTGAAAAAAAAATGTTATGTGGGAAATATATATATATGTTTGAACTGATTCATAAATTAGAGCTTGGAAACTGCTTTGAACAAAACTATTCAAGCAAACTGAGGTGCTCATGTTGCCCTAGGATATAACAATAATCTTTATTTTGACGTGTCCACACACACATCACGAAGCCTCAAGACAATCAAGGCGAGAGTGATAAGGCATGGTCTCGTCGTCCTTCGTTATTTTATCCTTTTTACTGTCTGCTGAAGTCGCAGAACCACAGCTCATAGATCACATATAAAATTACACGGAGTTTCTCTACAGACATGGTGATAAAATCATCCGCGGACACGCCTCAAGCCGTGTTCGAATTAAGCGGGTTTGCTTCGAACATATGCATATTTCGAACATGTCTGCAGAAGGTCTCTGTATGACCAATGTGACAGGATACAGGAAAGAAACTCGGCTCAGACAGTGTCTGCATACTTTCTGTAATATGATGTATTAGCAGTGTGTCCGCCGCTTAATTAAGACACCAACATGGCGTCGAAGACGTGCACGCAATTGAGGGAGAAAAAAAGTCGACTTTTGTGGAGGCACCACGGTGCGGTACACCTGCACAATATGATCATCAAAATTATCGTCTCGATTAAAAAAAAAATATATTGTTTTCTTTTTTTCCTTTGGGCAGTTGGGTTTCTTCCGCCGCCAGCAACGCGAGGCCCTGGAACGGCTGCTGAAGGAGGAACAGGATCAGAACGAGTGGAACGAGTTCATGGTCACCGAGGCCGAGGTCGAAGCCGAGAAGGAGTACTTCCGCAAGAGCATGATGGCCGGCGTCGAGGACTTCAACCTAGAGGACTTCAAGGGCGAACCAGGAGCGGCCTTCGAGCCTGAACTGGACTCCGCAACCACCGACGAGAAAGCGGTGGCGTTTGCCAACTATAGTTACAGCAGTCCGCCTCCTCCGCAAATGTAAAAACACTCCACCATCGGAGATATTCTGATGGCCACCGCGGTGGCTCCGAGGCAAAGCGCCGGCATACGGATCCCCAGTTCTGGGGATCCGTATGCCGATCCCCAGTTGGGGCGGGTTCGAATCCCGAGGTGCCCGCAATATGATGGAGGCCTATTGCGGAGAAGGCGCCGTATAACCGAGCTTTCGGTTGCACGTCAAAAGATCCCCACCCCAGGTGGCCGAAATTAGTCCTCAGTCCTTCGCTGGGGCGTGCCAGGGGCCTGTCGTTGGTCTGGCACGTAAAAACCCCAATTTCACTTTGATCAGAGATATCTCTAAAAAGCCCTGTCCCAGAATTTCTTTCGCCAAACTGTTCCACGTTCAAAGACTTTTCTTTTTTTTAAGACAGGGGAAGGGGGTGGGGATATCTTTTTTGCAATTGAAAAATCATTTTAGTATTTTCTTTTCCCAATCTGCGAATTTCGAGAGTACCGAAGGAACGAGGTAGATATTAAGAAAGGAAAACCGCTTTGAGGGGAGGGAAGGTAAGAAGTGTGCAAAGTTGGCTGGTTTTCAGGGCCGTAACCAGGGGGGGGGGGGGGGGGGGGTTCTGATCCCCCCCCCCTCCCCCGAAATTTTTTTCTGGATACTGCCCTGGTCGGTGCACTTGCAGCCAGCCGATTTTAATCTCCACCTCTGCGCATGCGCAGTGGCACCGGTCGGCTACCGGGTACCAAACCGGGACCGGTTCTTCGGTTTGCTATAACTCTCCATTATATGCCACCGATGCACATGATTCATAGGCGAAAATAAGACAATAGACATTTTCAAAATGGCCGCCGTTGTCCCCGAAAACTCCCCCCCCCCCCTTCCCCCGAAATTTTTTTCTGGGTACGTCCCTGCTGGTTTTGCACCCTCTTTGTGAATGTAAGTGTCCACAAGTATCATCATCATAAATGAGAGATCTCACCCACGGCGTGCAACATATATACACCGTTCACCCCTAAGCTGAGATATCGGTGAAGGCTACACTCTCGTTGCACCAATCCCTTGTACCTGACCCCGCTCTCAGCGCGTGAATTGGGCAGGGACGTGATTACGTGGCGAGAGATGCAACGAGCACCTAGCATTTTATGCACTGTCAGCTTAGGGGTGCACGAAGTATAGAGCGAGTTGCAACTTAGTGTGAAAAGGACAGTCAGATTTTCTGTCATGTCGGTAATATCCAGGAACTTCAGTCATTCACCGTGGCAATACCCAAAGACCTAGTAATTCCTTTTTCTTTTGTTCTCTTCTGCCCATTTCCCCAATCTTAGGGTTGTTTTTGAATTATATAGACCTTCCCTAGCTGCGCCAACAGTCACCTGTCGTTGAACAACAAAGTCGAAGACTGAGTATATTAAACAACATATTTGCCCCTGGAGGGAATTAAGCATTTTAGAACCTGACCATTACGGTCCTAACAGTTTTTATGTATTTAACACGTCATTGCACAATTAAACTGAATGGTTAAATTGCCTGGTTGAGTGATATCAAACGGTAAACTCGTGAAACAGTAATTTTGCCAGGCTCCTGAGATATTCTTATTCACACTAAATCCACAACAAATAATTGCGCACCATTTGTAAAACAGGCGCACACTCGGTTGATGCCGAAGCGCATGATGGGAAAGTCATGTACAACACGCATATAATATTGCAGTGCATGATCTGCCGTTTCTAAATTCCCATGTATGAGAGCTGGGACACAATATACAGAATTCCCCACCCAGGACAACGGCGTCTCAAGCGGCCCGAAATTTTCTTAGGACATATATATACACTCACAATCAAACCTAATTGGAGCACGCTGCCACGCGTTTTGCTGCGCGGAGCGCTAACCTCGCTGGCGGCGACCGGAGCAGTCGATTTGTCACGTGATGATTGGTCATTATAGTGCTTGAGGGGAGAGCGGTGGCCCCCGAACTCAGGAACCACATCAGACAACATGCGTGCGAAAAAGAGGCCGCCGTTCTTTTCTCTTGTCTTGCTCCTCCGATCGCCGGAAATGTCCTCGGTGTGTTGCGATCTTTGATTGCTTGGCTGCGTATCGTCATGATTTAGAGATTTCTAGGATGCTTATAGCCAGCAGGGTGAGTTATCACCATATTTAGGCGATCTCATACAGCTCCTCAGGGCACTGTGATGTTTCCCCAGTCACAGTGCCACGAAGGAGACACGGCTCTGATCCACGTCATTCGACGGCATTTTTTCATCATCCTCATCTGGTACCTCGATTGTCTGTGTTTTGACTGCATCTATCATGAAATATTATTGAGGAAAATAGTTTTTATATACAGTGTAATATTTTTTTTTAATGAAAACAGAATTTTAAGATGGTGCACACTGTTAGCTGAATGCCGTCTTCGCTAGCTGTTTCTCGAAATCGGCGGACATTACTGAAAAAATAGTTGCCATGATAAGTTGGCTAATTTAACTAAAATTTTAATTAACTTTGAATGAGTGGTTTTATGGGACATGTTGCAATTGCTGGAATGACGGTAATTACCCGCAAGCAGGGGCAGATTTAGAGGGGGGGGGGGGTCCGGATGTCCTGACCCCCCACCCTTGATTTCTGCATGCGTAAAATTAAGGGCGTAAAACGAACGAGAGGGGGTTCCTCAACATATGGTACGCTGACCAACACCTAACCCCCCCCCCCCCCTTCCTTCCCCTCAGGAAATTCTTGCATCCGCCCTTGCCCGCAAGCCTTACCCACAATCACGCTCAGAAAATTCCAAGCGTCATTCTGGGTAGGGCTCGCGGCGCGCTTTTTTGCGCAAAAATTTTTAAATCAGGCTAAAGTGAAAATTGATTAAATATTATCTCAAACACCAACAAACTTTTCCTAATTCGTTTAATTGGTCTGACCTTTAATAGCGATTGCAGTGAATTCTGCAATTACAACATGACCCGTTAAATTAATAGTTGAAAAGTTTATAACAAATCCAAGTTAATTAGCCGAGTTATTATGACGATTATTCCCTCAGCTAATGTCCGCCTAACTCGAGAAACACCTAGCGATAACGGCATTCAGCTATCAGTTTGCACTACATTTTAAAAATTGTTTCCATTAAAACGCATCACCTTGTATAACGTGCAATGTGACTGAAATACTATCTGCTAAGTCAAGGCAAAACTAAAATGAGAAAGTTAATGGGCAATCTAATTTTGCACACTTAGACGAAGTCCTCAATCTTGCCAAACCAAGAAAAGTTGTACATATGTGTTGATATTTATTAAAGTGTCTGATACATGCTGCATTTTGTTTGTCTGCATAAGCTCATGCATTTAAGGGTGATACGATACACGCTTGCAAAATGAACAATTCAGTTTTATTTTTCATTTTCTACAATCAACATGAAGTAAACTAAAAACCCTGGTTTCAGAAGAGGCAAAAGACTTCTGAAAAATCGTACTTTTGTAGTTTAGAAAAAAGAAGGCACTGCAAGTGAAACATTGCATAATTTGCATAGTCAAGCTTTCTTCCTTAAACTTCTAACCATAGTTGAATAATAAAATGTAGTTTAGCTTTACAGCTAAACTACAAGGCAACTAATTGGTATAATAGCAATACTCTTGGTGTCACATTTAACAATAGACAACCATGAATGAATACGTATGTCGATGCTGATGAAAGGAATGATTTTGTAACTCGCATCAACTACTACCTTAACAAAAGTGGCAGCGATAGTCATACATTGTAAAAAAAAGTTAATGTTTGCACCTTGAACACAGTAACATACCACTTCAACTATATATTTTAAATGTTTGCTCTCTTCTAACAATGAATAAACTAGTATACTCAACTTCAGACTTTTATAAAGGCCTGATATTCCAACTTCCCATATCATTGTTCACTGTTAGAGTGATGTAAGCAAGCAGGGCATATCTTTCAAAGAATAGATTTTGAAGCGAGCACAATTACATTTGACGCATTGTAGAGTGGTGTGTCACCCTTCACAGATGTTTCAGAAAGTCAATTAAATTCAACTTTATCGCCTTCAAGTCAGATTAATATACTTCTAGAAGGAATGATACCCACCAGAGTTGTTCTCATTTCGAGAAATATGCTCTCCTTGCTGCAAGCCCTTTAGTCAAGCATAAATAGTGGACATAAATACCTCACTCCTACATCACCCTTCCCATCCCTTACTATATACACAAGAAGCATAAGGTGTACAATTGCTGGAAAAGTCTTTTTCAATTACGATGAATCACCCGCAAGCTTTGAACACACAAATCCCCGAAGCAGCATATAATGCCAACAGCCTATACAACCTAATAATTACGTAGAAAACCTACTATGCTACGAGTTAAGTAACCATGAATCCTAGAAAACAAATGCGATTCCAGCGAGAAGACTGCCACTCATTTGATGCTGCAATACGTCTAATATGACAGTGCTAAAGGACACTTCAGCTGTTTGTGCTAATGCACCCGCACTTACTTTAACCACCTAAGGCACACAAGTGGCATTGCATTCATGAGGAAGAGATCACAGCAAATGAGTCAATGCAGTCAATGTAATATACACAACCGGAACAACTACCCCATAAACTGTTTGTTGTTGCATACGTAGCACAGTGATAAAAGGGAACCAGTGATCAAGCTGTGACATGAATGTTAAGATACGACAGTTGTGCGTTTGCCACGAATACCTATTATGACAGGTAGCGTGGGCAGTGAACAACTTCAGCCAGATGAGTTATGGCCGCAATTAACTAGCGACTAACTAGCGGATGCTGCGACAAGGCGGCATGGCATAGGTCCACATCACAGCAGCCGCGCAAGTTGCTATGAAAACTCCTGCACAGTGCCCGTTCTCATCGCTCGTGTGTCCCCTGCTTAATAGTCCACATTAGATCAGTTTTTGGCCCGATGAACAAGCTGAATTTTGTTTTAAGTTGTCATGTGCTGTCTAACCGTCCACGACAAACAATACTTTAAGGGATAAATAAACTTATGTCATACGTGTCACAAATGTTTCATTTGTGGCATACCTCCTTA